GGGGGGGGAACCATAGAAGAGAGAGAAAGCCAAGATAAGGAACCATTCAGCCGTTTCGATCCATGAGTTGAGCGATATCGTCAGCGTCGCATATGGATTAAACTCCGCTGGTGCTGGAACACTATCCGAAGCCCTTGTTTTAGTTTTTTTCTTTCTTGCTCTTTGTATTTCCCTAGCTAGCATTTTTCTCGGTTGACTAAAGCGAGTCGTATTGCTGCTCTGTACCTTATCTACTCTGTAGTAGGTAGAGTACCAGACCTTTAATGGATGTTCCAGAATGTTTTTTGCCTGTCGTCGAGGTACCGTACTTCTTGATTAATTGTAATAGTGCTAATAAGGACATCCAATACCCAGTTATTTACCAATTTCCACCTAAGGTACTACTAGTAAGTAGGTAGGCTGTCCATTACTAAGGTACGGTGTCTATACACATACAGTACGTAGGCACCAATAATTGTACTGTAGGTACTCTACATATATTAAGGGATAAGTATACATACATACCTCATACCATGAATACCTTGATAATTTCAGCCTCTGTATGGTTCCATACCAACCAACATACAAGAATAAATTGAATGCAGCCACTTCTGCATCCTCGGTAGTTGTGATGATATTCATCACAATGTGTAATAGTACCGCTTATTATTGATCATATTTAAATGCATATCATCCCTTCCCCAATGACTTATAACATACATTGATGGGTGGATGTACCTTACTATGCCGCCTAGGTAAGTAGATTAACCCTAAATACATAAAAAGTTAAGTACTGCTCCTGACTCTCATTGCTGGATAAATGCCCCACTTGTGGTTTCCACCTGTCGGCTCTCCTATCTTCAAGTACTTCCTGTTCCTGTTCCGTCCCAAGCACTGCCTAGGCTTCTTTTTTCTTTTTCCTTTTTCCTTTTTTTCCCTTTCTTTTCCTGTTTTCTTAAGTTTAAACTCTGTTTCCCACACTTTATCTAATTTTCACGTACATTTTACATTGCCTTTTAATTTGCGTTGGCCCGTCATATTGGCCTTCATTTCCTCCCCCAATCCACTCTCTCCTCCAGTCTCATTTCCCTGGACTGTTTCATGCAAGTTGTCCCGGTGGAGTAATGGGGTGGGGGGGAAAGCGTTTAGTCTCTTCCAGTCAATTCTTTCCCCTCCTCCAAGTGGAGAGCGCATGAGGCCGCCACTCAACCGAGTCGACCGTTGACTGCACGATTTTTAGCGTCACGCTCGGTTCAGTGACCGTTCAGCTCGCCCAGTGCATGGTCCGCTCCTTGGTCCTTCCTGAACTCGTCTTCAATAGCACTCTCTTCTCGGCCGCAGGAGGCTCGAAACTCGGAAACATTCTTCATTTTCTCCGCAAACCCTGACTATCTCTTGAACTATGCTAAGATAGGAATGGTGGGTTTTACTTTCTGCTCCATTTGGTGGCCCTCTGGCTCGAATAGTACCAGATGCTGTACGTACCACTCCTACGTATACGGTCGGTTCTGTTTTTTCGCACACTCAGCCATGGGATGGGCGTGCACCCAAGCGTGGTTGACAGCGGACCCGGCTAGTAACGGTCGATCGATCTCCCCTGGAGAGTGGACTCATCCTTTATCCGATGGCCTATAACCCTATCCTGGGACTGTAGGGACTTCTCCCAGCTTGAAACAAACGGTTTTCTCGGATTGTCACCCACCTCCCCCCTTTCTCCCCTGGCTCTGTACACACAACTTCTGTCCAGAGAGTCATTTGCATGTGTATCCTCTGGGATGGATGGAGGGTGGGTAGCAGCTAAACTAGGTGGTTCTTAGGCTGAGGACTTGGTCCTTGATCTAACCCGGTCTCCGGCGGATTATGGAGCCAACGCACGACTAGCGCTGTCGGTAGCCCTTCCACATGGTACACCAGTCCTCACTAAAACGACATTGGTGTCGGATGAGCTCCAGCGGGTAAGGGTCTATTTACCCTTCTAACAACGGTTGGCTGGCCAGGAGGATGACTGTGGGTGTCGGACTAGGGTGTCCCAGACTCGGTGACCCGCACGATGCGATGCAATGGTTTTGGACGCAGGTTCCACTTCGGAAAATTTACATGCAATCATGGCTGCGAATTGTTGACCTCTACTGAGAGTTCAAGCGACCTGGTTAGAACTGAAGAGTTAGTCGGATACACTTGCAAGTTGGATCGTGAACCATACCATCCCCCCTTATCTCTAGTCCCTTTACGCAGGGCTGCGGCCGTCTCGGTCCATCTGACTCAGTCTGGATGTCGGTGGAGTACTCATCGCCACTTTAGCTTCGGCGTAGTTATTACTGTTGCTTCTTTTTCTCCATAGAGTATATCGTTCGTCCTGTCAAGCTCTCCCTTCCATTCATCTCTAATTTTATTTTATTTATTTAATTTTTTGGAGATTCGATCTTTTTCTTCTTGTTTTCGTCTTGTTTATGCCCTTTCACTCATCGAATACACTCCTTACGCTCTGGAAATTTGAATATTTTGATGTACACTCGAGGCAAATCTTGAACTCACGACTCGACTCGGCGATCCTGTTGGTGTAGTGATCCTTAGGGGAACATTAGGTGACCACCATCGGCGTTGCTCCAACTGTTGTTTTAGTGCATACGATACTACGTTAGACCTGAACCCGTCAAGTCAGATCCCCAGTCACTACCGGACTTTTCTTTCCACCCACCCTCCTTCTATCTTGTTTGTCCTTCTACCCCTTGTGATCGTTAGCTGCCACCCTTATAATTGCTACGGGGGAACAAGTTAAACAATAGTAGCATGGTGTGAGATCTCCGTGTACCGAACTATCAATCTGTGGCCCGTTCAATCTTTTAATCATTTCCCCTCTAAACGCTGGCCTCTTGTCTTTCTCTTCCCTTTCCTTTTTCACTTCTTTTTTTTTCCCTTGGGTCTTAGGCTCCTTAAATATTTTTCATATTTTATATATTTTCTTGGTTTTATTTTCATTTCATTTTTATTTTTCGGTGGTCGGTTTTATTTTTTTTTTCTCTCTTCTCATTTTCTTAAAGTTCTGTTAGCATCCATCATTCTAGCAACTGTCCACCGTTTGGGTTAACTCCCTGTATCAAAAAGAGACAGTTATTCGTCCCCTGTCTCCGCCTAGTCCCGCATCAATTGGCGACAGTTCCTTCGAGCCCGTTGCTGCATTCTTAGCACTTTTTCAAGGTGGCCAACGTGGAGGATCCGGTGGACCGCTGTCGAACGTGATCAGGAGTGTCGTTCAAGATTTCTTCTTCTTATTTCCACTACCGTATTTGTTCTTGTTCTTACCCGCTTGACTAAACACTGTTGAGCCTTTTCTATATTCTCCTTCCTATATCTCAGCAGGCCCCAGGACCCAGCAGAGGGATCGACCCCATTTCTTGCCGCTGTCTGTCAGCTTCGGCTTATACTGCGCCTCTCCTTTCTTGTTTTGAACAGACATCCAGTGGCCAACGTGGTTCCTTACCAACTTGAACAGTTTATTATTCTTTGGGGGATCCCAGGTATTCATCACGCACCACCCTGTCCACTCTCCTGCGTCACTTTTGTCTTGGATGTTCAGGACTAGGAGAAACTAGTCTTGACAAGTATTATCAACTATTTATTCCCACTATCTCCCTACTCACAGCTATCTCGATATTCGGTGATTAGATACGTCGGCTTTGGGCTGTGGGTCTTCGTTCGACTGAATTTTCGCTACTACATGGAGTAACAAAGATATCTCTCTCCTACCATGTCAGTCAGTGGACCTTGCGTCTGGTTGTCCTCGTTGCCACCTCCGTCTAGCTCTCATTTGACTGCGATTGCAAATAATTGGTCGACGCCTTCTTGGAACACAGAGCAAGCTCCATCAAGCTCCAAGGTAATCTTCTCGGGGTTGCCTAAATCGTTGGAGAAAGACAGCGAGCTAGCAAAGCCACCTGTCGACATGCAGTCTGCCGTGCTCAAGGCTGAAAATGCCTTCCCAGCTGCGGCACCTGTGGGACCGCCAGACTCAGTTCGGTATTCAAGGGTAGAAATGCCCTCGGACACCTCTGGGAATCGGAATGCGCAGACAGAGGGTGACGCTTCGTTGGCCCGAATGAAACTAGAGAGACTGAACCATAGCGAACCGCTACTTTCTGTTCCTGGAGGAGCTTCCAGCCCCCAAGCCCCAAGAGAGTTTACCCCAGAGACTAGAACAGGGGATCAGGAACAACGAGAGCACGAGAAGGATCACGAAGAGGCAGGAGCTTCTTCAGATGACGGAATGGGATCACCAGGAGAAAAGAGAACGGCATTGGATTCTAAAAATGACAAGAAAAAAATGAAAAGATTCAGGTGAGCAACCAGGCCCGCTACGATTCAAGTTTATGGAACTCAATTGACGAATATGCTAGACTCACTCATAATCAAACTCGCTTCTTAATGAGTGAGTTTACTCGTCAGGCACATCCCGACGCTGCGCATAGAGAACGATTGTCAAAGGAAATACCTGGATTGACTCCACGCCAAGTCCAGGTTTGGTTTCAGAACAGGTACATGCAGTGAAAGCCGCTATCACAAATAATGTACTAACGTCTACCTTATAGAAGGGCTAAACTCAAGCGACTTACCAGCAATGATCGGGAGCGGATGCTGAAATCTAGAGCACTGCCGGAGGATTTCGATACTACTCAAGTGCTAAGGACCCCTTTTGACAATAAGACATCATCAGAGACACCAGTTCCGTCTTCCCTAAACCGTATGGCATCTATTTCGGGTGCTAATTCTTCAAAGATGCTACTCACCGACGGACTGCAACGACTCAATGACGACGACTATGTGATTTCCCCTCTGAGCTCAGCCTCAACAACAACAGGAAATGGCTTTCCCTCGGCCACCGCCGACCGGGGTTTGGAGGGCTATTTACCGAATGGCACGTTAGCAAGCCGAGCTGCACCGACACCTGTTCACGATCTACAGAGAAACAATCGCAGTGCCTTCTCGTTCTCACGATCGAGCAGTTTCTCCGAGTCGTCTTTCAACCCAAGCTTACATTTCCCCGGTCGGTATTCTAGACCAAGTGAGCCGCTCAACCATCCTGGGATGCCGTACGGACGGCGGCCGATGGATTATGGAATCAATCGACCAGCCAATGGCATGGTTGTTGGATACGATGACCATCGACAGCTAGAAGGTTCTGTTTCACCAACCGGGCAACCAGATCAACCGATTCCATATAATGTGGACAGTCACGGTAGGATTACCTTCTTTACCCCTTATTGTCTTGCTTCCGACTGACTTCTCTTCAATAGGCCAACAATTGCATAGCTACCAATCTCCGCTCACGATGCCCCCCTCAAAAGGATTCGGTGGGTTGGAGATGAACTCTCATATACAACCGCATGGAAGACACATACCCGCTTTACAATCACTGCCAGTTTCAGATGCGCCAGAGTACCGACACTACTCGTACAGCCATCATCCATACAATATGAGCAACACTATGCCCTACTCCCAGGCCAATGCGTCTAGCATGAGTCTTCCTGCGTCATTCCCTTCCGACACAGGTAGTGCGTCCCACGGATCTGCTAGCGGTGAAGACCGAATCAATAATCCACCTCAAATCTTGGACCCGTTGAGGGCCAAGTTTGGCAATCAACCTTTCGAGTACGCCAATTATCTATAATTCCAGAGAGCCTGATGGCCGCGCCATTTCTCTCTCTCTCTCTCTCTCTCTCTCTCTCTTTCTCCCTCTTTCTCTTTCTCTCTCTTTCTCTCTCTCCCCCCTCTACTCCGCAGACCTTCCGGCAATACGCCAGCCTTAACTCGTTTTAATAGGTTTTCTCCCCTAGTTTACATCCTCTCTATAGGTGATTGGCTTTTCGCCTGCTGTGTGCTATTAGGCGTTAACGTCTTGATTCTAGTATATATTTACTTAATCCTCCTCTTTTTTTTGAACCTTTTTTTCGTTGCGTTTCCGAAGGGGAAAAATTCTCTATTTGCATTGGATCCACTAGTATTGTTCGCTACAGGATGCTGTTTACATTGGCGTTTGTTCTTGATTCGGCTGGTTGCTTCCCAAAGTTATCTCCAACCTTCTCTACTGGTTTTCTCTTATTCTCTTCTCCCTTCCCATTCCATAAAATTCCTGTGCCTGATAGGGTTGCTACACGAGAGATGTTCTTGTTATTCTGGGGGATTACACCCACTAGTAAGTGGTAAGTTCCCTTTTCGATGTAGGTAGTACTGTATGCGATTAAATATTGAGTTCCTTCAATAGCTTAGTATACATATTGTGGCGACGGATAAAGTTCTGGATGGAGCAACCCGGAGGCGGATCGAGGATCTATTTATTGACTGTCATTGATATAAGGTTTAACTCGTACTCTATATGAGACAGACCAAATTTTTATCTGAAGAAACTGAGTTCGGCAAGCCAACCGATGAGTGACGATAGATACAATAGATACTAATTGGCCTTCCTCCCCCCAAGGTAATACTGCACTTGAATACTACTAGGTACTGTACCTACCCATGACTACAGGAGCTACTACCATCTACTTACTATATGCACCGTCCCCGTAATACTAGTTAGTGGTTATGTTACCCCCATAATCCTCAGGATTGTCGAGTCAGCGTTGACTAAAAACAATCCCAATCAATCATGGAGGATCGATTACTACGGTCTTGCAACAGGCGTTGGACGATTGGTGACGTTATCCCATCCCAGCCAGCCAGCCAATCAGCGAGCCGCTATTGCTAATCTCTGTGTACCAGGAGTGGACAATGGATTCAGGGTTGGAAGGTATATAAAGCGAGAGAGGGGAAAGCATTCATCCTTTCCCTCATTGCTAAATTTGTCTCTCCTCTAACTACAGTTGATTGATTCTTGGGCTATAAGCTGCCTCGACTCCCTAACATCGCCAAACCATCCTTTTCCTTTTGAAACCATCCGTCTCGATCTTACGTCATACTATCTTCCTCCTACCTTATTGAGGACTTTGTGTTATCACCGACCGTCACGATGGTTCATCCGACTTCGACCTGCTGTAAAACCTCCGGGGACGGATCCTGTGTCTGTGCAGCCCAAGCCAAGTGCTCCTGCGGCAAGGAGAGCGCCCTTCATTGCACTTGCAACAAGGCCTCGACCGAAAACACTGTTTCTGGTGCCCGTTGCTCATGTAGTATGTTTAGCATTTGATCTGATTTGGCTTTTCAGACCTCTAACACTATCAAAGGAGCCCGTCCAGCTGGACAATGTACCTGTGAACGCGCAGCAAGTGAAAACCATCCCGTGTCAGGCGAAGCTTGCCCGTGCGGCAAGAGGCCTTCTGGTGAGTTTTCTCTTCCATCTAACTCAACGGTAGCTGTTTGACTGACGTCATTTCGCTAGCTTCCTGCACTTGTGAGAAGGCTGAAGCTATCGACGCAGCAGTCGAAGGCATCGAGACCGACTTCACCTCTCGCTTCCGATCATGAAGGGTCCTTTCTCGTTTTCTTCTCTCGCTAGACTGCTTTGTCTTAATGATACCTGTCATTGGAATTCAGTTTCTTTCTTTCTTTTTATTTTTTATTTTTTTTTTTCTGGGAGGCTTTTTTGGAGGGCTGCTGGGCTGGGGCTTGTGTGACTGCATTAAGACTGGTTACTTACATTGCTATGAAATGATTTGCATCGGGATATGGAGCTAGAGTTCACAGTCCTGCTCATTATATCTATACAATGAAGATTTACTCTGCCTAGGGCAAGTTATGATCGCCCGCCTGTTTGTAACCCTAGACATTGTATAGAAACTACAGGTTGATCAAAGACCCCGGGAAGATGACCACTTGCCATCCTTCATATCGGAGAATATATATACACAACCTCCGATTTAAGCTCGACGTAATGTGTTTTGATCGCTTTCTGCCAAAGGAATCCCCCCTTTTCGATGAATCAATCTCTTGCACTCTCAACGCGCAATTCTTTACCGAGATGCACATACGTTGTGTGAATATTTTACACATGTGTATTTACAGACAACGCCATAGTACAGCCACATCGCACGTGACCATACAACCAATGTGAGCACCGCCACAGCGCATCAACATTTTTCCCATGCAAGTGGAACGTTCGCCGGATCGGCCGCGGAAGTGGCTCAACCCGGATAGAACGACGCTTGCTTTCCTCCTGAAAATAGAATAACAATTGGTACTGTACTGTATGTATGTACTAGCTGGCCTCTGATACCGATATACAAAAGCCTTGCGTGGACCTACTTCCCCGAACCCTACCGTCTACTCTCTACCTTCTTTATTATCTCACAGCCGCGTCCACCATCTCCCCGCGCCCATTTGAAACCCGACCTACCCCCTTGTCGCGTTATCTAATCCTCCCCTCTAGATTCCTCCGCTCCCGAGACATACTGCATTGAGTTTTGCATTATGTCCCATGCATCCTAGAAAAGTTTAACGGAGCGCTGGAAAGGACACAAGCTAGCAGGGCATGCTTTTCACCAACGTGGCGCCTTGACCTCTTCCGCATACGAAAGAACAACAAAACGGGGCCCCTTCTCCCCCCAGGAGTATTGCTATCTCATATCTACAGCTGTCGGCTAGTACGACCACAAGATCTATGCTAGATCTATCAACATGTCTTCGATGCGAGGCTTGGTCCAGTTTATTGCCGACTTGCGAAATGCGAGAGCGCGCGAGTTAGAAGAGAAACGGGTGAACAAGGAATTGGCCAATATTCGACAGAAGTTCAAGGGTGGAAGTCTGAACGGATATCAGAAGAAGAAATACGTCTGCAAATTGCTCTATGTATACATCCAAGGGTACGATGTTGACTTTGGCCATCTGGAAGCCGTCAATTTGATCTCCTCCACCAAGTACTCTGAGAAGCAGATCGGGTACTTGGCCGTGACCCTGTTTTTCCATGAACAGCATGAGCTGTTACATCTCGTTGTTAACAGTATTCGAAAGGACTTGCTGGATCATAATGAATTGAATAATTGTTTGGCATTACATGCTGTTGCCAATGTCGGTGGTAGGGAGATGGGTGAAGCGCTCTCAACTGATGTTCACCGGTTGCTGATTTCTCCGTAAGTTATGCTCCTCTCCCACGGCCCCTCTACCTCTCTCCTTTCATACAAAACTATCCGTGTGCTGGGAACTAACCTGGCATGTAACTTTCAGCACGTCTAAGGCCTTCGTCAAGAAGAAGGCTGCTCTAACACTCCTCCGTCTATACCGCAAGTATCCCGGCATTGTGCAAATTGAATGGGCCGAGCGAATAATATCTTTGATGGATGATCCAGATATGGGTGTTACCCTATCGGTCACTTCGTTGGTCATGGCATTGGTACAGGACAAACCTGAAGAGTATCGAGGGAGCTATGTTAAGGCTGCGCAGCGGTTAAAGAGGATCGTGGTTGATAACGACGTTGCCCCTGACTATCTCTATTATCGTGTACCATGTCCCTGGATTCAGGTCAAGTTGCTACGACTGCTACAGTATTACCCTCCGTCAGGTATCATCTGCCTCATAGCTAGTCATTATTCATGTGGAGGCTAACGCAACGTAGAGGACAGCCATGTCCGCGAAATCATCCGCGAGACTTTACAACAAATCTTGCATATTGCCATGGACACACCAAAAAACGTCCAACAGAACAATGCGCAAAATGCCGTGCTCTTTGAAGCCATCAATCTTCTCATCCACCTTGATACTGAGCACAGCCTCATGATGCAAGTATCATCGCGACTAGGCAAATATATCCAATCGCGAGAGACTAATGTTCGGTACCTTGGACTTGAGGCCATGACACATTTTGCAGCCAGAGCGGAGACCCTTGACCCTATCAAAAAACACCAGAATATCATTCTTGGGTCACTCCGGGACAGAGACATTAGCGTTCGGCGCAAGGGTCTGGATCTGATCTACAGTATGTGCGACACAACTAACGCTGGCCCTATTGTCAATGAGCTCTTGCGCTACCTCCAGACTGCCGATTACGGGATTAGGGAGGAAATGGTACTGAAAGTTGCTATTCTCACGGAGAAGTATGCCACTGACGCTCAGTGGTACATTGATATGACTTTGAAGCTTCTATCTCTCGCAGGTGATCATGTGAACGATGAGGTATGGCAACGAGTGATTCAGATCGTGACGAACAACGAGGAGTTACAAGCCTATGCGGCACACACACTTCTCGGTTATTTGAAGACCGATTGCCACGAAAGCTTAGTCAAGATTGGATGCTACGTCTTGGGAGAATTTGGGCATCTTATTGCGGATAACCAAGGCTCTAGTCCCATCGAACAGTTCTTGGCTTTGCAAGCCAAGATGATTACCAGTACTGATAACACGCGTGCCATGATTCTCTCGTCTTTCGTTAAGTTTGTTAACCTCTTTCCTGAGATCAAGCCTCAGCTGCTGCATATATTCCGCCTGTATAGCCATTCTCCCGACTCTGAACTTCAGCAACGAGCTTTCGAATACCTGTCGCTGGCGACACTGCCCACAGATGATCTTCTACGGACAGTCTGCGACGAGATGCCTCCTTTTTCAGAGAGAGCGTCAATCCTCCTGTCCCGGCTTCACCAGAAGACTGCCGGCACTACCGACAAGAAGACCTGGGTTGTCGGAGGTAAGGATGCCAACCAAGATCAGAAGGAGGTCCTCATGGCACAGACTACCGGGCTCAAGCGCACTTTCACAACGATTGTCAACGGCTCGAACACTGGATCAAACGGTGCATCGATATCAACGGTATCAAGTGCAACGGGGGACCTAGCAGGACTGGACCTCAGTGCCTCATCTGCTCCACCTCCGAACATGGCCAGTGCAGCCCATCTCACGCCGGACTGGGATGTCGGGTACAACCGGTTATACTTCAAAGATGAAGGAGTGCTTTTCGAGGATGCCCAAATCCAGGTTGGCCTGCGGTCTGAATACCGTGGCCATATGGGTGTGGTCAAGATCTACATCTCGAACAAGTCGTCCTTCCCCATTGGATCATTAACGACAACGCTAGACAATCGTGCAGCGCCCAACCTTAAGGTAGACACCAAAAGTTTGCCCGAACCTTCTCTCCCGGCTGCTGGCCAAACCCAGCAGACGCTCTTCTTTGTGGCCCATGGGCCATTCACCGACGCACCCACTATTCGCATCTCCTACCTTGCGGGTGCACTTCAGGCCTATACGTTGCAACTCCCCGTTCTCATGCACCGGTACATGGAGCCGTCGACCTTGTCAGCTGAAGAATTCTTTAAACGATGGAGACAGATCGGTGGGCCACCTCTGGAAGTGCAGAATACGTTTGGAGTAGTAGCAAAGGCAAAGGATATCAACGAGACCTCCACTCGACAGAGTGTGGAAGGGTTCGGCTGGAGAATTCTCGACCATGTGGACCCCAACCCGAAGAACATCGTGGGTTGTGCTGTGTACCATCTTGGTACAGGGAAGACGGGGTGCCTTCTTCGACTGGAGCCCAATTACGAGAAGAAGGTGAGTCCCTTATTAGCATTATTTATGAATAGCAGAAGGGAACTGAACTGACATACTTCTTATAGATGTATCGGATAACCATCCGAGCCACGAAGGAAGGCGTGCCACAAGCGCTGGCCAAGCAAATGGAGCAGAGATTGGCGCAGGGAAGCACGTTTGATCGTTACGCATAGCCTACGTCGAGTCTTAGGAGGTTGGAGCATAAAGCCTATAATGCACTTAATAATGTAAATTCACCACGACCTTCTCTATTATGTGCTGCTACCTTTGACAGTGTATTTATTAATATGAAGAGGTATATATTCTGCATCCGCGATGTGTTGATCGATATACAGATCAGTGGTCTTCCAGCCTAGGACATCTACTTAAACCTTTTCCCATGCTTCTAATTCTGAATATTCCAGGCCTTACCCTCCCCCTCCCCGTTTATTTACTCATTTATTTTTTCTGATATAAGTTCGTAAATCATGTCACAGCCCAGGTCCGATACCCACATTTACAAGTTTAGATCACTCTAGCCTGATCCTTGGGTGGTCTCTCGCCAAAGATGGTGGTTCCTACGCGAACCTGATCACTGCCCATGGCAATGGCGCCCTCAAAGTCCTCGCTCATACCCATACTCAGTTCTAACCGGGCATCATCCCCCTCCAATCCCAACTCGCCGACAATCCGATCGCGAGTCTCGCGCAAGCACACAAAATCCTCGTTCTCGGTCTCCGGCGTGGTTGCCTTGGACCTGGCAATCGCGCCAATGGTCATCACCCCCTGCAGCTTCAGCCGCGGACACCTCTCCCGGATAAAGCGACAGAGCGACACGGCACCGGAAAGGGGGTCGACGCCCGACTTATTCTCCTCGCCGGACGTGTTCACCTGCACAAATACGCGCAGTTGGGACCCGTCGTCGGTGGCGCGCAGGTCGGGCGACCGCTCCCCCCACCCTCTATCCAAGAGGGAAGCTTTCTTCTCGGAATCGACACTCTCGACGGCCCAGAGGCCCCGCACGTCCCGTGCCAGGGTCACGCATTTATTCGACTGCAGGCCGCCGATGAAGTGCCATTTGATGGTGGCGGGGAGGAGCTTGGATTTCTCCTGCAGTTCCTGCAGATAATTTTCGCCGAAGTGCAGGTGGGCGGTAGGGGATTGGTGAAGGGCTAGGACGTCGGAGGCGGGCTTGAGCTTGGAAACGGCAATGAGTCGGATGGGATTTGACCTGGTTGTTGCTTTGGCTGCGGCTGTGTTGACGCGCGACGATACCGATGCTAAATTGGAGAGTAAGGTGGCGGTTCGGGCGGGGGAGGGGAGCATGACTGTCGTTTCTTGTGGTGATGCTTGAGGGGTCATTGCAGGGGTTTGACAGATTTAGTGGAAAATAAAAGATGATCACAATTAGGAGAGAGAAGAGAGAGGGGGGGAAAATAAAAATGAAAAAAAGGAAAAGAAAACGAAAAGGCCTTAGTGGAACGGAGTGTATGTTGGTATACCAACTCTTAGTCAATCAAGTATCTGCCTGGAGATCTAAGGAAGTTAGTTAGCGCTAGCCACACGTGATACGGGAGATGAGCGATTCGGTTCCAGAAGATTATCCGGGGAAAAGCCGTTTTCGTCAACTCTGCAGAAGATCCAACGTAAGTGGTAAGAAGTAGTTTAGTTTCCGGTCCACTCAGTCTTAGGGCTATTGGAAATCTAGCGACTTCAACTTTAACTAGTGCATTGGGATCCATCCATTGTAAATATATGTATGTACAACAGAAGAGATGAAAGGGGGAAGAAAAGAAGAAGAAGAGAAAGGAGAAATGAGAGGCAGAAACAGAAAAATGAAAAAGTAAAAGAAGAAATGGGCCAGTGTTGGACCCTGTGACAGCGGACCGTATGGAAAGAATCCACCTGACCTTCCGTACAATTTCAGCCTACACTATCAGATTTCAGGTTGATTGTTTTTGTTCCTACATTAGTAAGGAACCTCGAAAAGAAGAAGAACAAAGGTAAAGTAAAATTGAGAAAATAAAATAACCACAAAGAAGAGAAGAAAAGAGAAAGAAAAAGAGAAAAGAGAAGAGAGGAGAGAAGAGAGAAGAGAAAAACAATATGTAATCAATCATGGCAGCCTAGACCTTTTCCTTACCAACGGAGTAAGACCTCACTGGGGCTTGTACCTTTTTTTGGTCTTTCAGGCCAAGACGTACCATGCAACGGGGCGCAGTTGGCCGAACCACCATCGTCCATCGGCCAACGACTACTTTTCCCTCCTGAATAAATAGCCTATCCTATCGGGAGAGTCTCCCTAGTCGCCCGGACACATGGATAGACAGACGAAAGGATTGGGCGGCAAAACTCGGCGGCAAAGGAGAGAAGCAATTGTCGGTTTCTATCCATAGCCAAAAATAAATTGTAAAAATGAAAATACTTAAGAAAAAAGGTCAATGATTCAACCACCATTGGTAATGTGGTACTCGAAGTCTTGACGCCGGACTCCACCTGACGTCAAGGACTTCAAGTTGTTGCCATCACTGATCTGTTCCTGCGTACTTGGACTCCGGACCCTCTTGGGTTTTATTACTAGTGAACTGCTGCTTATTTCCCTACAAATTGTATTCCCCACCCACGTTCCGTCTACTTCCACTCTGACGCCTGGAGTGTAATTGCACTTCTTTCCTATCCTTTCTTTACTGCCTCTGGGGGTAGAATGTAACTTTCCTCCTACTCCTCTTCTTCTTCAGCTACCCTATCAGGTAGATATCAGAGAGGCTGCAAGAACCCTAAGTTGGTTATGGAGTGGGATCCAGACCAATAATCAATACATTACGCCCACGAACCGGAAATTCAAGAGCTCATACTCCTTGACTGGCAACAATTGTGAGAAACAATCAAAAAAGAAGTGACGCGCAAAAGGAAACAAAAATAGAACATATTCATCACTGGATCTCACGGATCATCTCCCGTTATTGTGAATTTACCGGAAGTCTGCGGAGTTGATCCAACCCCCTCAACACCAACTTTCGGAACAGGCTGCCCGTTAGATTCTCTCCAATTTTACTATATCTGGTCGGATACTTGCAAAACCAAAAGAAAGAAAGGGAAAATTACGCTAGAAGAACCATGTGTCGCCAATTCTTCACTATCTATGGATGGTGTCACTGCGAAGAGGATAACGGCCACGAGCTTTGCGCAGCTCGCAGGCGAGACATGTGTCCAGGGACATCAATAGAGACAGTTCATATGCAATGCTTCTGCAATCATCACGCCAGCAAAGGGTTCAAATCCGAGAAAAAGGCTCAGAAGTCAACCTCGATCGACGAAAAGCGCTCGTTCGCTCCGCGGAAGAAATGGTATCAGATCTGCGGAGCACGGTCACGGACTTATTGATGTGCTTTTTTTCTTTTAACTCTCTCCCTTTATGGTGTCATATGCAGATGAATGGCTGGTTTCTTTTGTCCTTGCATTGTGGAATTCTTACGTCTAGGTTCGGGATGGGACTATATTTCTTTTCTCTCTTTGGGTCATTCGGTACGGGTGTTTTGGTCAGGCCTTAGGCGTTCCTTTGGTAGTGGTGAGGGAAGGGTGTTGTTATTCTCATCCTTCTGATGTAATTTGCTATTTATCGCTTCGTGTTTATGTGCAGACTCCTTTCTCTCTTGGGAATAGAACCTGTCGGATATCAATCATGGTCTAGGCTAACGCTGGTTAAGTGTAGCGGATTTAATGGCATGTCTGCTGGAGTCTCTGTATAGAGTGGATGAATATAGTAACATGACTGATTATGGCCATTGCTTTGGACGGGTCACTATACGAAACAATAATAAATATCAAAAGGGAATATCAAATGCAAGAGAGGCGCCCTGATTCCTTTATTAGAAGTTCCTTCACAATGGCTGACCACTTATAGTCCCCTCAGGTAATATACCTAGTTTTTGGTTGTTAATTTTCTGACTGATTAACTCGATTTGTTCCCTGAAGTGAGTGTTCAACTTGCCTTCGGAGATATTCGGAGAACTACACCACACAACCCTTGTTACTTTAACGGTATCTTGTCTATGTATAGCTGCTGGATGGGTTTACCGATGTAAGCCCTAGTCATGTCCTACTTCCCTATCTATCTACGGTTTCGGGGTAGTTTTAAGCTCGTGGAGATGGAATCAAGAAAAGATTATTTGGTAGTCATTTTTAATATTCCTATGCCGGTAATCCCTGTTTGTATCCAGGAGCCAATTTACCATCTCGTAGATTTACCCATCTACTAAGTACTGTACCACCTGCGAGGTTTACTTGAAAGGGTAGAGAAGAGTTTCATTCTTTTTAGTATGATACCGCCACAAAAGAATGAACGGAAGCATGATCTGTCTAACCATTCCAGAAGCAAGAGATCGGAGATCTAAACCACCCGACGATGCATATCCGGTTCAGATTCCGCGTCCTATGCGATATAGGTTAAAGAGAGGATAGAGAATGTTATCGGATCCTGATGCCAAGGGAGGGCGCATCTTGCCAACCCAAGGCCAGGGATGGGTCTTCTTAGGGGCTAGTTATGTGGGGACCAGCTCGGGCGAATGTCCCATAGTTTGGTCTAAAGACAGGAGAAACAAGGGAAGTAGATAATGTGTGTTCAATTACCTCTTGGACAGGGTGAAGGATGAAAGGTTTACTTGTTATAAACTGGTAGTCATACATACATACTTACTAGGTATGTACTTCTATGGGACGAGGGGGGTATAGATAGTCAGAATGTCAAAGGAAAACAAACCTTTTTAAATCAGGAACAGTATAGTTATGGTTATTTTTGTATGTATGTATGTGCTATGTTATGTTATGTATGGATATATATTCTTAAGAATGAGGGATCAGGGGAGGTTGAGAGAAGAATGGAGGATCGACTGCCCCTTACCCGATAGGGAGAAAAGCTTAAGGGTCACTTTTGTTTCCGTTTCCTCTCTTCCTTTCTCTTCTTTCTTTTCCTCTCTCGTTCTTTGTTTGGATTATCTCACTTCTTTCTAATTCCCTCTCACTTGACCCTGGTTCTATTGTTCTGTCCTTCTTTTTTCTATTTTTCTATTTTTTTTTGGTATTGATTCCCCACCAAATGAACCGCCTATCTGCGTCATGGACCCCTCCAAGCGCGACGACCCTCCAGCTTCATCCACACCCTCAGAAACAATCATGGCACCAACTCCCACCATCGATCGTGTAGACCACTTGCATTGTATGAATAATCCATCAATGCTTCTCTCCGTATCTTCCTCCGCTTCCTGTCTCTTATCTCCCGCAAATGCCCCCGCGCGCTCTACATCCCCTCAGGCCCATAAAGCCCCTCGGCGCATCTCTAGTTCTAGCTCTCTGAGAGATGAACATCTACATGCCGGTTTAAAAAAGCGCTCGTCTACTGCGTCGCTGCGATCCATCCATAACAACAGTAGAGCGTCAACATCCCCCCACCGCAGTGTATCGCAACATACATCCTCGTCCCTTGCCAGCTCCCCTACCGCCACCACACCAACCACGTTAACGAGCCACAACATGCTGTCAAAAAAGTCGCGTCATGCAAAAGAAAATGAACACCCAGCCCCTACCGCTGCTTCTATTGCGATAGATCATTTTCAAAGAGAGGTGGGGTTGCATCAATCCGCGGATCTACAATCGCAAACGCTTGTGGTAATTCATGATGCATGTTATGGTCATCGTTTCTCACGGCCTCGTACCTCTAGAGTAGCCCTAAACGCCATTGTCGAAAGGCCAGAGCGAATCCTAGCGAGTGTCCTGGGTGTGTCTGCGGCTTATGTGCGTCTTGCTCACCGGTATGAAGGGGGGAGGTTCCCCCCCCGCCCAGATATGAACCTTGACGAGCTTCCTGTACCCCCTTTCCAGATACGCAGGACGGCCCGGTCTATGCCACTGAGCTCACCGGCAGTAACGCACGTACATGGGTCCAGGTGGATGGATGATCTGAAAACTATGTGCGACGCGGCAGAATCGCGACTCGCGCTGAACGGTAAGGAATTGGTACGACCCCCGAGTGCGGGAAAGGAAGGGGCCATGGCCGATACCCCTGGATTTCATGAAGGTGACTTATACCTGTGCTCGGAGTCTTTGGACGCATTCGAGGGGGCTTTGGGCGGCGTCTGTGAGGGCGTCGACGCGGTCTTTGGCCCAGGTTCGACGAAACGCGCGTTTGTGTCGATTCGTCCTCCAGGTCATCATTGCTCATCGGACCACCCGTCGGGATTTTGCTGGATCAATAATGTCCACGTAGGCATCTCCTATGCTGCCATGACTCATGGGTTGACTCATGCGGCCATTCTGGACTTTGACCTTCATCATGGCGATGGCTCGCAGGAGATTGCATGGGAGCAGAACCGAAAGGCTGCTGCAGCCCCTCGAAGCGCAGCAAACTACAGAAAGACTGCTATTGGATATTTTAGCCTTCATGACATCAACTCGTATCCGTGCGAGATGGGCGAACCGGAGAAAGTGCGCAATGCAAGTGTATGTATTGATAAAGCACATGGTCAGTCGGTGTGGAACGTTCATCTGGAGCCGTGGAAGACCGAGTTGGAATTCTGGGAGCTCTACGCGTCCAAGTACGCAGTGCTGATCGAAAAAGCGCGCGCATTCCTGCGGCTTCACACTGAACGTCTTGCTAGTACCCCGAATCGATCGTCACCTGTGGCCGCTATTTTTATCTCTGCAGGCTTCGATGCAAGTGAATGGGAAGGAGCCGGCATGCAGAGACATAAGGTGAATGTGCCTACCGAGTTCTACGCCAAGTTCACCGCAGATGTTGTGCGAATGGCAGAAGAGGAGGGTCTGGGTGTGGATGGAAGAATCATCAGTGTTTTGGAGGGAGGTTACAGTAATCGTGCTTTAATAACGGGTGTTTTGAGCCATCTGTCGGGGTTAGGGGATGCGAGATCATGCTTGGCGCCAGGTGAGGTGGACTACATGGCCGATCGCTTGACGAACGAGATGACGGACCGGTTGGGCCTGCTTGACATTTCGGCTAATGTCCAGCACCCAATACGTCTGCCTGCTTATGACAGTGCTTGGTGGTCGCCAGCTATACTGGAGGAACTAGACGCCTTGGTATATCCGTCACCGGCACCTACGAAGCTTCGTGAGAAGTCTGCACCGACCTACTTTGCTCCCACCCAATCGTTTACCGCGAAAGTAGTCATGCCCCCTCGGGATCGAAAATCAACTGGTTCTCAGGTCAGCGTAGAAACCGAGGCTCCGCAATTGCCGCCGGTTGGATGGGCTACTGCAGCGCATGAACTGTCCAAGGTTCTCATCCCGAGCCATCGGCAAACCACAAGCTGTCGGCCGGAAGAGCTCAATGCAGAAGCCACACGTCTCCGACGGGAACGTCAATCGGCCGCCCAGCACACCAGCATCCCTCCAGCCGAGCCTGAGGAAAGCCGGATGAAACTTCGCGCAAGGAAACCCAAGACTCCGTTGCCCGAAACCCCAAAAGCAGAAATATCTAAACGGTCTGCCATCGATAAAAATCGCAGAACCACCATCGAACGTGCCAGTGACCTACCTGATCCGTCCATCGACAAGTCGCCTACTACGCGCAGCACAACCCGTAGAAAGAGTGCTGCTTACACCATCGTTTCAACCCCAGAACACAGAGCCATGGGCGAAAAGTGCGTTCGCTCGGCATCGGCAGCTAGCGTGCGAAGGTCTAGCAACTCTCGATCTACGACTCCTAGGCGCCCCTCGAGCCCTCAAAAGGCGCCTCCTGTCCCTCGGGTTCCGTCCGCATTCTCGAAGTTGTCCACTGGCGAAGGACCAGCCGTCGTGCCATCCAGCATGCAGGATACAACGCAGGACGATGTGGATAGTTTGACAGCAGGCGTCCGGAAACTCAATATTAAGCTGAAAGTGCCGTCTCCCGAGGAACACGCCGCGCGAGAAAAAGAGCGCGAGCGACGGGCTTCGAAGGGGGGAGCTAAGACATTGAAGGCCCCCAAGAAGACCTCCGGCATCAAGGGCTTAACTGCTCCCACTAATAAGGTGGCGGGTCGTTCAACCACGGCTCTCGCGAGTGATCTTGCAGGAGATTCCCCCGCACCGTCGCTGAATACTTCCAGCACGGTGACCGGCTGGAGTGACTCGAGTAAATCCGCAGAAATGTCCTCGGCGGCCTCATCCCAGGTGCTTCTCCCGGGAATGGCATTCTCTCCCCCCGTTACACCGGGAACTACGCATGATGTTCCGCGTCCGCAATCCGCGTTATTTTCTCCTCCAACATCTGAGCCCTCCTCCAAGACCGGCATTCCGGTATTTACATCCAGTAGCTCCATTCCTTTTGCGTCAGCGAGTGCCACCCACGGTGACGTCTCCCCCAACGCAACCACACAGCCACCCCTCTAGTTGGGCTAGGGACATTGCCTCTGATTCATCTGAATCCTGATAGGTCTTTTAATTTTTGGGAAACACTCTATTCCGTCCGATTTTTGATATCCACCTTTCCTACCACGTTTACTTTGTCAGATGATGTACCCTTTGGTTTTGAGTGATTGCCTTACATCCACCTCTGGCACCTTTTGCCCGAAAGTTTCACATCACATAACATATCCCTCCAGTTTTTGTTGCACTTTGTCGATATACCCCTTTAGGTGTTGGAGTTGTCATTTAAAGAATCCTTGTTAGGAACAGAACAGAACTATATGGTTGAATTGATAATCCGCCGGACTTCCTAAAAAAAGCGCACATCATTATCTCCGAGATCTGATAAGGCGCCACCGCCCTGATGAGTAAGCCATCTCTCCGCATGTGCTGGTGCCTTCTAGCCTTCTCTTCTCTTCCTTGCCTTTTGACTTCCACGTTTTTAAGGAGGCAGAGAGGCCTCCCATCATTTCAAGCTCTACTTACACTGCCTACACAATGGCGCCCATTTCCATCACCAAAGACCAGCCCTCGGCGCAGGAATCCTTCACACAGATGGCCGATAAAGATCTCGAGTCAATCGGGCGACACTGTCAGTTTGAATACTGCAATCAACTCGATTTCCTCCCTTTCCGCTGCGAGTCCTGCCGCGGAACATTCTGTCTTGACCACCGCACGGAAACGACGCATAGGTGTCCCAATGCCGGTGAATGGGCTCGGCGAAGGAATGGCCAGAACTCCAGCACCGGCACCAACCTTCCCACGCAGAGACCTACGATCTACAATTCCGACCAGTGTGCCCACCTCGAATGTAAGACCCTTATCAACACCATGAAAGACCCGGGCGTCCGATGCCCCAACTGCAACCGCCAGTACTGCCTGAAGCACCGACTCCGGGAAGAGCACGACTGCGCCAAGATCACCCCGCTGGGCGGGCGGCCAGCCGCAGCAGGCTCCAACGCAAACGACACTCTGCGCTCTATGTTCGCGCGGGTCCGCACATGGGGCAAGGATAAGAGCCACGCCGCGACGCAGAGTCTCACCCCGACCCCGAAACCGAACAGTCCCGCGGCGCGGACCACTCAGCTGAACACCCTCAAGAAGTCCGCCAAGGGGGACGCCAATGTTCCCGCCGACAAGCGTGTCTATCTGCACGTGGTTGGCACTTCGGATACGCAGCGAGCGGACCCGCCGAAGGGCGACTTCTACTTCGATGGCCGGTGGAAGGTCGGGCGGGTTCTGGACGATGCAGCGCGACGGCTGGGTGTGGAGAATGTGAACAACCGGGCTGAGGAAAAGGAACGCCTGCGGATCTTCCATGTCGAGTCGGGGGATTTCCTCGAGTTCTCGGATGCACTTGGAGCTAGCAAGGTGAAGTCCGGGCACACGATTGTTTTACTGCGGGGGGCGGGAGTCATGCTGGGGAAATAGAGATATAGATTTATCCTTCATTTTTCGGTTCTCGGTTCTTTTTATGTTTTTTTCTTGTTTTTATCGATTAGGCGCAGCCATGATACCATCTAACTTATCAATCACATCACATACGTACATACAATTCATGACAATCCATAGTCTATCTTCAAAATCATAGTGAACAAAGGTATATAACGCACAAGTTTTAGGAAAAGCACGCACATCAAAAAAAAAGGAAAGAAAAGCAAATTCTTTTAAACGCTCATCTTCATCTTAATAGCCTTATGCGGGTTGTATCCAACGACATCAAAATCCTCCGGCTTCCACCCATCAACCACACCACTGCCTTTATCATCGCGACGGATCTTCAACTCCGGGAACTCAGTTGGCTCCCGCACCAGCTGCTCCTGCAAAGGTTCCACATGGTCCAGATACACATGGGTATCGCCCATGGCATGCACAAAGGTCCCTGGGTGCAGGTCCACGGCATGGGCCAGCATGTGGGTCAGGAGCGCGTAGGAAGCGATGTTGAAGGGCACGCCCAGGGCCACGTCACAGGAGCGCTGATAGAGCTGGCAGTGGAGGAAGCCCTTCTGGTCCCGGCCGTTGGGGTAGGAGACGTAAAACTGGGCGAACATGTGGCAGGGCGGGAGGGCCATCTTCTTGAGATCGGCGGGGTTCCAGGCGCTCATGATGATGCGGCGATCGAACGGGTTATGCTTCAGCTTGTGCACAACCTCGGCCAGCTGGTCGACGCCCTGACCCGTGTAGTCGGTTGCCGCGTCGACGTACTCCGCCCCGAAGTGTCGCCATTGGAACCCGTATACGGGGCCCAGGTCGCCCACCTCGCGCTGGTCGAGTCCCACCTTGTCGAGGAACTCGCGGCTGCCATTGCCGTCCCAGATCTTGATGCCCTGCTCCGAGAGCGGGAGGGATGACGTGCAGCCGGAGATGAACCAGAGGAGCTCAGCGACGACGGCGCGGAGGAAGACGCGCTTGGTGGTCAGGAGGGGGAGGACGGGGATGGGGTCGTCGGTGGGATTGACGCCCGGTTTGGAGAGCGAGAAGCGGAGCTGAGGCGGCGCGAAGATAGAGCGTGTCCCTGTGCCGGTGCGATCGGGCCGGTCTTCGCCTGAGGCGAGGATTGTGCGGATTAAGTTGAGGTATTGATGTTCCTCATGATTGGGGTTGTGCGGTGTACCATTGGCTCCTGTGCTGGTTGACGGTGTTTCTGCGGAGGGGGACATATTTGTGCTAGTATCTTCGTGGAATTTGTACTAGTAGTAGTAGTAGTAGTAGTAGTAGTAGTAGTAGTAGTTGTTGTTACTGTTGTTGTTGTATGTCCTTAGTTGTACTGTGAAGTTGGTTGAGTTTCGCGGATAAATGTTCGACGCGACGCGGTCACGAGAGCACGTGATTGACAGGCTATTTACATTCTATCCAAACCATGTCGCCCTGCTATGAATATGTTATCGCATGCTATATATGCTCGGATATATACTCTATATGCTAATCTACCATCAGATCTACTCCGACGCCCCGTAACGCTCCCACCACCCACTCTGGGTACTTGGACTTCTCCCCGTAAAGCTTGCTGAAGAAGTCCCGTAAGAAGGCGGGGAATCGATCCTCTAAGATAGCCTGTCGGGCAGCGCCCATCAGGGAAAGAAGATAGTGAACATTGTGAATTGTAAGACTGCTCATGGTCAGCGCAAGATTTTAAAGGAGGTGCATGCCAAGACAAATCTTACAGGTGAGCGCCAACAGTTTCCTTAGCCGCCATATGGTGTATATAAGCTCGTGTAACTCCAAGACCACCCTGGTCTTTGGGCCGACAGACGGTACAATTGCACCCTTCTTGCACTGGCCCGAAGTCCTGAGCAAACCTGTGATTGCGCAGGTTAAGAGTACCAGATGGGACAACCGCGTTTCCGAATCGCTGAACGTCCATCAGTCAATGCTGCCATTCTGAACAATCAACCGTGGGGGATCTTACAGCTGTTCTCGTAGGCCAAACACAGTCGAACATGTCGGCACCTAGGGCAACTCCTACAATCAAATCCTCGGGGTAGCCCTGAAGAACGTTAGACGGTGCTTAAGGTCGGCTCTAGAATCACTTACGACGCCCATCACATATCGTGGTTTTTGATCCGGGAGGAGCCCAGTGCAAGTATCGACCCTTGGAACATTAGCCAGGACCTACCGAGAAAGGGAAGCAGAGAGGGAGAGGGGAATGTGCGTGTTCGAAAAGAAAGACATACACTTTGCAGAACTCGTCCTTGGCCTCTCCTCCAGAAAGTCCGCCAATGGCAATTCCTGGCGTGTCTCGCGCGACCATCTCAGCACAGCACTTCTTTCGCAATTCGAGATCTAACCCTCCCTGGATGATACAGAACAGGTTTTGCCTTTCAGGGTACTTGTGCGCGTCGATGCACCGGTCTAACCACCGTACGGATCGCTCCATAGCTTCCTCAATTCTTGCATGATCCGGCGATGTAGTCGCTATCACATCATCGAGCTGCATGATAATATCCGAGCCTATCGAGTTCTGCAGGGAAATGGAATGTTCCGGGGTGAGCAGCCTGATCCATCGTCGTCAGATATAATCTTGGTAACTCCAGGAGGGGACCACTGTACATGGGTGAACCGTCGTGAGGACTCAGGAACCGCACACCTTCTTCCGTGACCGTAGCCAGTTTGAGCAAGGACACCATCTGGAATCTAGTGATCTGCGTATCAGCCATATGCTTCACGATGTGAGACATCATTGCCCTCTCTCTTTCCAAGTTATATATCATACCCTCCGCTATCGGTAAGAATATTGCGGTCCCACCCCTGCAACTTATGCGCGCCGCCCACGGCGTCCAAGACCGCCTGCCCTGGTTTCAACCCCAAGTGATACGTGTTATTTAAGCACAGCATGCATCCTGTCTGCTTGAGCTGATCGTATGTCAGGCCCTTGAGAGACGCCTGCGTCGCAACCGGCATAAAAATAGGAAGAGGAACCGAGCCATGGGGAAGATGGAGGGTACTGGCGCGGGCTTTCGTGGTCTATAGCATTTTTGAGGAACACTGTTAGGACCGGTCCAGAAACGGTTAACTCGTGAGAGAGAAAAAGTGAAAAGTAGAGCGTACTGAGCATTTTGTATGCAGATCGAACTTCAACGCCGAAGGCATTGGCTTGCGCGGCGCAGCAGCGGCCGATGCAGACGTCGACATCTTTGCGATTCTTGCCTCGCTCAGATTCGCGGGGAGGATGGTGCGGCGCAGCGAGAGGGTTCTCTCACTCAGAGGACTATACGATGTTTGCTTAGTTAAGGAGGATCGAAGGCATGTCATCAAGAAAAGGTGGTATACTAGAGGTGGTCAACTTCTGCCGCAAGACCGAACAATTTCATTATCGATAGAGCAATCACTGTTTGTCGATCGATCAGGGCTGTTTGTCTTGTTTGTACAGTTTGCACCATGTCTCATCGACTGATCGTTGTATTGTATCATACCATACGATACATACGCTCTACATACCCCTAAACCCTATGTATTGCCTTATATGGAGATGAGCGAGGTCTATAATTGTGCAGATATCTCTGTATTCAAGAGAAAATGAACGTTGAAATCAATGGCTCTCCCTCATAGATGAGTTCACCATGGCGATATGACACATCACATGCATACTAAGATCTCATCCATGGCACCGCCTGGAGCATGCACGCTTGGCTGGCTTTTACTGCGCAACTTCGAAATCAGGTCAAACTTTCACAAACTAAACTCACCGTCCGCTTGATGAAGCCAGTCTGTAAAGGGTGCAAGCTCTGCCTCTCGTACTCGCACGAGATTGATTGGCTCTGGAGCAATTATAATTGTATTCGCCACCACAACTTTCTCCAGCGAAGTTCTTCCCGGCATTTGAGTTTGGCTCATGCCGTGCCTGAAAATCCTTCCTGGTTTACGATTCAGAGGGCGGGGGTATAACTGATGCCCTTGTTGCTCAGGGTAGCTTTGGATTCCATTCGTCTGATATAGGGGTCCCGAGCGCCATGGGAGAGAAGGGAAAGGACCACCAACATGCTGGAAATGTCAAAGATCTAGAGGAAGATCCTCAGGTATGGCGACAACGACGATTCTACTGGGCTCCGATGCTAATTACCCCGTTATTAGAGGATCTACTACGGGGACATCGAGGCGGTGGGTCTCAGACCTCGTGAGAGAGCGATATGCGGATCATTCCGCTATGCACCGCAATTTATATTCTCTGCTATCTAGGTCGGTCCAACATTAGTATAACACAAGGGCTCCAATGGCTTTGCTATCTATCTACAAAGTGATGGCCAGGCAATCAGTTAAATAAAGGAACAGGTAATGCTAAAATCCTCAACGAAGACACGGAAGATGATCTCCTTATGGAGACGAACATGATATCATATCAATACACGTATGTCAATTGCCAGGTCAATCCCTTCTTCGTCTCACTACTGAAACGCAATCAGCATAGCGCTAATGGTGTTTCTGATCGCTTATGCTCTCTTTGAGATCCCATCGAATTACTTTCTGGTAGCTAAGACCAAGCGTGAGACTATTCCGAGGAGTTCAAGCTCGAGCATTCATGCTTCTTAGAGTGAATTGCCTCCCTGATGCTAGGCTGGGGTACATCCACCATGGGCCTCGGTGGCGCACACAACAACGTACAGGGGACTGGGATTCGTTTACTACTTGGAGATACCTCGATATCCATAGCCTTCATCATTTACGACAACTCTTGTGTAAATCTTACTTACACTACCACAGTGATGGAACCGGGGCTTTTACCCGGGGCTTGTTGACTTCCTAACCTTCTGGTGCCGACATTCAGAGCGGTCGACGCGAGTGGCGCTAGTCCTCGCATCAGCTACATTGGCGGGCGCCTTCGGTGGAGCAATTGGTTTGGGAAGGTCTTAACGGATTGGCGGCTATATGCTCACTATGTGGTGTGTCTTCGTCTGTTGAATATCTCTTCCCCCTCACCCCTTCAACCTAACACGGGCTCGTACATAGACAGATCTATTTTGGTAACCCCACCCCCTTTTCAGGCCTCTCACTTTTACGCCCGCAATTACCAATGGTCTCGGGTATACCGGCTTACGCGCTCAGTTCATGACAGTGCCGCCATGGGCGGTCGCCTACGTTAGTCACAACCGCAGCAGCCTGGTCCGCAGATCATTTCAATAGGTACGCTATGTATATACCAGGACGTGGGCCGACTTCATTAAACTAACTCAATACGACTGAACCGTAGCCGCGGCCTTCTTTCAGCGGGATTCTCCTTTATCGGGAAATGGGATTCCTCGCCGCTGCAGTTCTTCCACCGGGCGCGTATCTCGTACGTTACCCGCAGCGATATTTCTTTATGGCTTTTCTAAACTTATCGGCCCATACTTACGTCCGCTATCACCGATACGGCTACTTCATAGCCACCAGGGGCACCTTCGCCTGCACCCCCCTCTCCTCGGCTAGCTCTTGTCCAACCTCTGCTCAACAGCCGGGACTGGGCTAGCGATTGCACTAAACGTGTTAATCGGAGCACCGGGAATTTGTAGGCGTGTGGATTTATAAAGCCAAGGGGCTATCCGACCGGGAACTGGACCAACGCGGCGTTTCTTCTACTTGTCTGTGCGGAGTGTCTCCTATTGTGGGTGTATTATGGATGGAGGAAGAGGAGGACGGGAACAGAAGACCAACGTGCGTACTAGGAGAAATTCTTCCCTCGTTCGTCGTTTTTGTTGTTGTCGTGCCCTTTGGGGGGGGTTTGGGAGGGAAGGTCCCTTCTTTTGTCCTTGGTGGGAAATGTGAAACATTGTGATCGGCACTATATCACGGATGAGTGAAATTAAAGTCGGAGGAACCATGGTACGCGGCACGTGAGCAAAGAAATAAGGTTAAGCTCAGGGCATGACACGAACTGAACCAGCGATTTGGGTCTCGATGGTGGCTCAGGTGGTCTAAAAGTATATCCACCGGATTAGCATCAGCGCACCAGTCAATATCCACGAAAATCAACCGAACACAGCGGTTTTTCCGAAAATGCACCCCGGGGGAGATCCCGCCCTCAAGGAAAGAAAAAGGAAAAAAGGCGAAAGAGAAAGAGGTAGAAAAGTGAAGGGTAGAAGTAGAGTGTCCACAAGGGAGTTACCGTCCAGTGCAACTATCCAACCACCCCCAACGAGCCATCGTCAAAGACAAACTCAATTGGGGACACAGATCACTTTCGAGGGACGGGAAAAAGAACGGCCATCACACTGAGAAAATCTGTGGTACTAGACGAAACCCCTAGTCTATCTTTGTTCTTTAGCTGCCTGTCCTGCGCGGCTTCGCACGTCCTCAACATACCCCATATCTGATATGTAGGGCTCAAGTCCGCCTATCCATCGCTACCATTATTCGCAAGGGACAAACAGGGGCGACCGAGATGGAGTGGAAGGAGAGCGAAAACCGTACATCTGCAAAGTACGAGAATTGAAAAATGTCAAATTTTTTTGTTGTTCGTCATAAGGTAAAAATCTGATCTGATCTGTCTGTCTGTCTGTCGTCAAATATAATCGTGCCATAATATCCGTATGCAACCTGGTCCATCTGTATAAAAGACAAATGAGGAAAAAGGAGAGGGAAATCAAAGAGAAGCGAAGAAAGCGAAGAAAAATGACCGGAAAGCATACACAACTGGGTCGGTCAAGTGGACCATCCTCTGACAGAATTTGCATCCAAGAACCAAGAAAACTACAACCAGAACAGAGAAGGAAAGCAGGGCAAATAAAGCGGCAAACATTCTCGTGCCCAAATCATGATGGCACCCCAAGGAGGGCGGCATCTGCACCAAACCACCCTCTGTATGTCCCTAAGTGTGTCCCCTTGGAGTTGCCAAAACGTCTGCATTGCAAAATCAGAAACGTATCTGTCGACAGCCGAGAATGTTGTACACGTCTGCGAAAGCCGAGTAATCGGCGGCAACTTGAAGAGCTTTTCCTTTCTTTCTTTTTTTGGGGGGGGGGAGGGGAGGGAAGCAAGTGAAAAAAGGGGGGAGGAAAGTGGAAATAACACGTAAGATCGAAATATTGTCAGAAAAGAAACAAAGTTACAGCCACCCAGGAGACAGAAGGTCTCGTTAACGAGGCATCTGACGGGAGTACGCGGGCGTTGTTGAAGCCTGAGGGAACATTTGGCCTTGGTAGGCGGTATTACGGGAAGTCTGCGGGATGAGCACGTTCAAGGCTTTCTCTGCTGCATCCTCTTTGGCGTTGTTGATATAATTGCCGTCATACCAGAATTGGGCAGAGTACTGTCTCCCTTGAACCAGGACGACGCAGGTCCAAGCTGTGCGACCACCTAAGAGAACGTTGACAAACCCGTTAGTGCAAAGGTTTTCGATTACAAAAGTCGGTGAAGTTGACTCCACTCTTGTTGTGCGGAGAACAATATTCGACAACAAAGAGGACTCTTTTTTTTCCCTTTTTTTTTTCCCATACCGTCAAGACGCCATGGGACGAAAGGGTATAAAAGAGAAAGGCGGCAATGGAAAGAATGGGATCATACCTCGACGTTCGGTATAAATGTTAAATACGGGCTCTTGCAGCTTCTGAGACCGGCAGTGTTCTGGTCGGTGAGAACACTTAGCATATGAAATGATATCCTTTTCGAAGGAATTCCAACAAAGTGGGGCATACCTTTGAGTTGCTCTTGCCAACTGGACCGAACATTGCCATTATTCGCCGGCGGGACGTTTTGAACTGGCATCCTGAATCACAATATTCTTGTCAGAGAAGTGCAGAATTGACACTTTGCTCTTCTAGGGAAATAAAACCCTAGTCTTCTGAGAACCTGGTCAAGGGGGGAAGTCACGGGTTAGGGTGGAGTGCGGATGAGCCTTTGTGCAGATAATCCGAGATACGTAAAAGGAAGAATGAAACCAATTGACTTCTGGGGAAGAAATTTTTGTCTTCCTTTCTCCTCTTGTTGAACTGTTGACTTGTTTTTCTTTCTCTCTTCTCAATCCAAACAGTCTCGATGGATATGGGAGGCGGGGAGTCATATAAACTGTGGGCCACGCCTTTTTTTAAACAAAAAGAGGAAAGGGTAAAAATAAATAAAATAAAATAAAGACAAAACCAAAATAGAAAATAGTAAACAGGAAATAGGAAATAGGAAATAAAAAAATACACCCCTCCAAAGCGTCACAGATTTTATTTTTTGCCGTGACAAACACGGAACCTAATCAATAAACCTAACAGACAGGCTTATGCACGTCGCTGTGGACATGGCACAGCGTCAGCAAATTTCTCTCCCTCCCCCTCTCCCTTACCCTCCACTTAAGAAACGCCAGTTGCATGGAGAACATGCGGATCATTTGGAGGCTGCAAGCTGGAACGGCCCGGCGCACGCCGACTGAGAATGTACCCTTGAAGAAACGCCAGAGGACCAGGATAGCAGGCCACTAGTCTCCACACACGCCAGACCCATGGACTGACGCAGAGGTCCAGCGAGACGCTTGTTGTACAAAAGAGACGTACCACTTCCGATCTGTTGGCCAACTCAGAGCCCTTCGTTTATTTGGGTCGTGCCATCGTGGCCATTGATCGAATTCATGATCTCCCTCTTTTCTCTTTTTCTCTTTTTCTTTTTTTTCTAATCCTTGTTCCATAAAGTGTGCTTTTACCCATCGGGTACAAACCAGCCGTTTGCCTCATGAAAGCACTTTTCAGAGAAGAGGACAGGGAAGAGAGAGCGAAACGCTTTCTGGAACGGTTGGATAGAGTGGAGGGGTTGTGGTCTTAAGGTCGTTGCCCAAAAGCGGAGAGGAGGGGCCCATATGATGAAAAACAACGAATTGAAAGGAAGATCGGTTCACGTCAACTCGATATTCGAACCACTCATAAAGGTGGAAGCGGGACTAGAGACCACATTTGCCAGCTCATCAATGACTTATTCCGAAATCAGGAATACAAAAAAAGAAAAGGAAAAAGAATGAAGGAAAGAAAGGGAAAAAGACATCAATCCCATCCGTTTCTCAGCCCTGCACTAAACCGGTCAATAGGCCGGGCCGCTGTGCATGAACGTATGCTATCGGGGAGTGAAGCGTTGCAGATTTATGGATTCATGATATCAATATCACGGTAACAGGTGCCAGTTCAATGGAGCTCACAAGGAATGGCCCAAGCGTGCACTGGTCTGCAGGAAGCACAAGCGGCCAGCGAAGAAAGGATTGGGTCTGGATGTACTCCGTACCAGTCCAGTCCCAGTAGAGAAATCTCCATGATTCGCTGCATTCTTCTGGCACTGTGTTGGGCATTCATACGTGCATTGATCGATTATTATTATTATTATTTTTTGGAGGGGAAAGCCCCCCACGAAATGAAGTTGCAGCCGAATGAGGGTTAAAAGAAGAACAACAGACATAATGATACAGCTCATCAAAGAGTAGAAAAAGAAAAAATAAAAATAAAAATATATTAAAAATAAGTAAATAAGTAAATAAAAAAGAAGGGGGGGCCCATCCACACACATCAAGCGGTTATTATGAGAACCTGCATGGAAAAGAAGGCGCGATTGAACATCGGGGAATGATGAAGCGCATCCACGGAATCCCCTTGATTCGCGCGGCGCAATTTTTTGGGACGAGCCTCGATCTGCCCCGCATCGACCTCATCGACAAGCTTAATTGATCTCTGTCCACTCCCACGGGTAGCGAAAGGCTAGAACCATTCTTTTCTCCTAAGCAGTACGCTAACTGGCATTCCGTTCTTCCGCGGCGTCAATGCTGGCCCAATCAACCGGGCCCCCGTAGCAGTGGCCCAATTCAGAACGCATCGTACTTCACTTCCCTTTTTGCTCCCAAAACGCCCAAATCTCATCGGGTTCGTGACTTGGTCCAGCGCGAGGCCAAGTCGGGAGAGAACATGAGTAACTTATACGAAATGATTAGCCGTTAGGTTCAATTCAGTAGGTTTGTACACGATATATATCTCTCCCAAACCGATACACATGAACGCTAGATAGGGAACGGGGCAACAAAAAAAGAAAGAAACAAAATTTAGAATAAGATAAAATCATTACATGCGGTTTGTATTCCAAGAATCAACTATTTCAAGTAAAAAGAGGAAACAATTCACAGTAAGCGAGGTTGTAAACCAAAAAAAAAGAACAAAAAAGAACACAACCCCTTATCCATAACAAATGAACCTCTCATTTGGCTTGAAATGCATCCTACCTAGTACTATTGAATCCGAAAACATGCTTGCCCTGAGTTTTATTGCCGCCCAATTATGCCCATGAGAATATACACAGGGATATCAGCCCAAAACGAGAAGAAACGGAACGGAACAGAACAGAAAGGGCGAATAGAAAGACAGAAAGACTTCGTGTCAAATGCAAGCTCATCAAGACCATCCCAAAACACTGGCAATCATCTCCGAAGTTCAAAAAGAAAGAGATCAAATCAAGAAGCAGAAAATCAACGAAGAGCATACAATAAGTTCCCTCCATGTTCTACTAGTTGACATGGTAACAACACGTCATGCTATCATGATTGTCTTTTCCCCGTGGCCGTGCGCCACTCGATCTCATGCTGAGCCTCGTCGGTGGAACACTTCACCAAGAAATCGTCGTGAACCCATGAACTCCATACTCCTCGTGAGTGATGAGCGCATGGGTAACATGAGCTGGCTATGTTTCCTCGAATGCCACCGGCGACGGATGGAGTCATCAACCAAGACCATTAACCCCGTGGCCACGATCATGCTGGACATGTGGTTAGTAAACGTCCACGAATCTCTTCGCCCCAAGACGAAAGAACACTTACTCGGCAACATCTGGCATCTTTTCATATACAGACTCTTCGTTGATCCACATGGAGGATGGGGGAACCCAGCCACCCTTAGCCTGCTCCTCGGCGGCTTCCATGGGAGTCAGAATCTCCGGAATAAGATGAGCAATCGTCTTGGACGTCCGCAGGTCTATCAGATGGAAAGCTACCTCCTGCAGGTCTCCATCCTTCCGATGTTCTCGTTTCCACTGGTATCTGGTACACCAATATTCAAAGTCATACCGTTTGGACATTCCGGCACCCCGTCTTTTGATCTCCACGTGGGCGTAATTCGAGAATTCCAGCATGACCGCGTCAGCCAGAGGTTGATTGTGGCTTTCCTGAACGTCTAAGTCCTCGTCCTCATCCTTCACCGACCTAGGAGCCAGATCCCGACGCTTCTGCTTCGCGCTATGCGTCGAATGATCGCCACTCGAGCCCGGGCGCAAGCCGGCTAACGCATTACTCAATGATCGTTGGAACCCCGGCCGCTTGTTCGGGCCGCCGGACGATATCCGTCTCCTCTCGGAATGACACACCTCGCGCTCGGAATTGCGGCAGTAACGGCGGAAGGAGAACTCTCGCGTGTACAGGTCATACATGCGGAGGTGGAACAGTATGACGGGCTGCTGATAGCCGTCCCTCCGCGGGGCCAGGGTGTGCACGCGGAGGTTCATGTTCCCGTCGAGCGTCGTATCATCATGGCCGATCAGAAGCCGTCGCGAAGATGGGAATAATTTCCCAAAGGTGGAGGAATTCGAGGGGATCGCATCCGAGGGGAAGAAATCCGTCTCGGCTCCCCGGTCAATCACCTCATAGCGCGGTTTCTTCGGCTTTTCGTCATCGTGGTTGGTCGAGGCGTAGGTTGATACCGAATCTTTCGGGTCCATGGCTTCTCTCCGCTTCGATGTGGGCCGCTCGCTGTAGATCGTAGGGGCCGTGCTTTTCGAACGATCCGAGGCATCACTGTATGTGGAGCTCGAACTTCCTCCCGTCCTGGAGCTGTGCTGTCGCGACGATACACTGTATGATCCCATCGTGGCGTGAATTTAAAGTGTCGCAGTTTGAGCTGGGCAGACGTAGATAAAGCGGCTTTGTCTCCGCTAGTAATTTAAGATGAATCGGGAAAGGTTCAGGCAGGATGTGAGGAGGGCGGGGGTGAATAAAAATCTAAGTTAGACAAAAAAAAAAAAAAAGAAGAGAGAAGCGAAGAGCACGAAAAACAAAGATCTGGTCATCAATATGTACTCGGGATCCCAATGTCCATTCCAGTGGCTGAGTGAGTAGCAGTATTACTCAGAGAGTATGACCTATCAACGGGGGATACCCTAGTAGGGCCTTGTAGTATAGTTAGAAGGGCAGAAATGAGAACAACAAACTTCCAACGATCAACAGGAGAAGACTGATGTGGTCATACGATAGATAGTATTCGGCGGAAAGGAGGGCACGGAGTTAAGAAAGCAGTAGGAAGGGAGGGAAAAATCCAAATGCAATCAAAAAGAAATTGAAAAATCAAGATAAATAAAATCTGAATAATGTGCAAGTAAGGTGATCCGAGTCAAAGAGGGGGTCAGTGTACATAGCAGATGACGCCAAGGGCGGCAGACTTTGGGAAAATCTACGATCAAGGAACGGAAATCCGCATGGAAAGAGTAGGTACCTCATTCCACGATGCGCGTGGCGCAGGGAAAGTTGAAACTGTGGGAGGGCAACGAACGAGAACGAACGCTGCTGTAAATGCGGTGGAAACGGAGTGAGCCACGTTGCGGACTGTTAGCAGATGTTGATCCTTGATGCCCTACTATTTGATTTATTTGTCCATCAATTATTATTACACACTCTATGTTTATCTGTCGTATTATATTTATTTCTCTCTTATTTATCTTCCCCCTCCCGAGCTTCTCCAAACACGTTCTTGGTTGTTTAGCCAGTTTTTCCAGAGAAAAAGAAGAAAAGAAGATGGAAGAAAGGGACAAAGGAAAAGAGGGAGAGAATTTTCTTCCAAGACCAAGGAGGGATATTAGACTGTAGATCTTAGAAGATGGGGTGACCTCATTGTACCTGTCCGGGGGAATTCTCCCTTAGTCAATTTAAATATGCTAAGAGACAATTGCAGTGAGTGACATTATCAAGGAATGATGATAAGGTTGCACCCAACATAAAATTGGAAAGAAAAGAAAGACAGACAACCCCGCACAGTTGAATCTCATCTAAGTGTAAGTACCCGATCGATTTAAATCCACTACTAAGGAAAGGAAAAAAGAAAAAGAGAGAAAAAGAAGAGAAAAAAAGGGCAACGCTACCTAACCCCACTACTACTATTTTTACTAAAAATACTATTTTTTTTAAAAGTACCACTACCACTAATACTTTTTTTCTGTAAAGCCTACCGGGAAACGGAAATGGTGACCGTTTCATTCCACGATCTGCGCCGAGGCTGACAATGAGAAGATGAATGAATCAATGACTTTATGTTTGTTTGTTTCTGAAGTAAGACAGCAGTCAAGTAAGGTGGCTTGCGATATTCTCCGACCTACCAACGAGAAGAGATCTCATCCCTACCACGGATTATTCCGGGGGATCGATCGGTTCAACGAACTTCTTACCACCACACTTCCAGGCGATTCTCTCCTACATTCAAAGGAAGATTGCATGACATGCTGAGATATCTTCTGACCAAACATGCCCCTGCAGTTCCATATCGTTACTACTCTTACTTCTTACTGCTAGTCTACTGTATACTCCCCGTTTCACATGCGGTGCAGCCTCTCTAGGCGACAATTGCCGCATCACTGGAGAAACCTTCAGTCTTTTTTTTTAATTTTTTGAAAAAACCCTCCTTTTGTCCTTATCAGATGACAATTTTCACTCTCTCACTTCTATCTCCCATGATAGTCTTTTTTTTCCCCCCCCTTGGATGTAATAAATAACTCCCGACGGAAAATTGCCTGACAGCCCAACCCTAATTTTCGAGAACAGACCATGGAACCAACTGGGGCTCGACCATTCGGATCGGACCGAAGCCCAGGTCAGTGCTATCTATCCCCCATCATTACTAAGTATTTGGTAAAAATACCTTCACAACCATTACCGGTAAGCCATCCTGTTTGCTGGTGTCGTGAGATACTACCGTACTACTTAGTACTAGCCAACAGATTTCCGTAACGCAGGAGCATAAGTACTGCTATCATCCTGGCCAACTCGTGGCTGAGCCTTAGAACCTACATCTACCCCAGAAACGTTACTCGCATGATTTGAGTTCTATGAGGCCCTTCCCCTTGTCGAAATGAATGGCCACTACTGACCCAGCGCCCATATTAGAGAACAAGGCTATCCCGGCACGATAACGGAGGGCTTCCGGCAATTCAAGGCAGATTCTGGGTCAAACTTTGGAGCATTCTAGGCCGTATTGAGACCACCTTGAAAACCCACGGCAGAGATGGAACAGTTTATAGATTACCGTATCAAGGGGATGACTTATCTATCTTACGAATGATCAGGTCTCAGGACCACCTCTGATGATGGCGGATGAAGTTATATATACCAATTAGCCTGTCACCCTAATCGGCTCGCGGAGGAAGCCACGACTTGCCGGTACCTGGGGAAGCGAGTAGACAAAATAGCCAACCAAGCAAATGTTCAGTAACTCTGTTACTCTGAATGCTGACACCAATCATATCCATGTCACTCGAGGCATGTTGCGGAGGTGAACACTTACTATTCCCGCCAGCAGATCGGATATAGTTAGTTCCAAGGTAAGGAGGAGGGGTGGGGTTGGGGGGTAGATGGTGGTGATATAATGGACCGGTCTAGAGATGCATGGATACCTTGGAGTGCGATAATGTCCTCAATTTAGGTTCGTGCATTAGATGTTTCTTACGGTGGGTAGTTCGCCGCCGGTGTACGTATTGTACTATAACCTCAGTCCCAACGCAAGGATCTAGATCATGATTCACTTACAATCCTGCAATATGTCTATCCACGGCAAGGGGGGTAAAGACAAGGCTGGATTGATTTATTTATGTTCCAAAGGTAAAGCATTACATATTTAGTGTAGCTAATATTCAAGAAAGCCCTTTTGTGTTTGCTGCGTCACTTGCGCGATACAATGGAGTCCGCTACCAAAGGCATGTTAATTGACATCATTTCTACAGGCCAGGAGAGCCTTTGGCATACTATTGCAGGCCAGCTCCTCAGGTTAAGAGAGTAATAAGCTTTGGCGCTTACTCAAGTATTGAGTCGATGCAGGTTGTTCGGGCTACGTAGTACCTTAACCGACTTACTAGACCTATGTCTTACACAGAATCAATTATGGTACCTAGCACATATAATTGAACAAAAACGGAAGCACTGGGCTTGTAGCTCAGTGGTAGTAGCGCTCGCTTTGCATTGTTTGCATATTTGCGAGAGGTCAGGGGTTCAATCCCCCTCAAGTCCACAATTTTTTACACTTCATACTTATTTACTAAGAAATAAAGTAGGAGATTTAAGATACAGAAAAAGGACACATCCGTTGGTTCTATAATTTTAGACCGGTTTGTTTACTTCTTACCATTTAGTCGTGTAGTAGTTAGGTTAGTATCTGAAGGGATTTTTCCGCTTGCTGTGGACTTGTTGTGTCTCCCTTCTCCTACCCTTTTCTTTTTGGCTGTCTAGTGTGATGTTGTCTGGGGTGTCCAGAAAAAAAAGAGTAAAAAAGTGGACTCGAGGGGGATTGAACCCCTGACCTCTCGCAATTATGCAAACAATGCAAAGCGAGCGCTACTACCACTGAGCTACAAGCCCTATGCTGACTGTTGAGGTCGCCCAAATTGGTCTCTATATTTATTTCATAATCAGCTCGGAGTCGTCATCGGCTCCACCACCCGCGTAGAGAAAACACATACTCTAATCGTATAGTGTAGAGGTTCTCCAATAACGATTTGGTACTATCTATAGTCATCGAAGTCCAAGAATACCGCAACCGTGGTAGTTAGATGGCATGGCAGTGCGCCTTTCTCTGGTGAATGTGAGGTGAGGGGGGCTAATGGGTATCGGTGAATCGACGGGTGGTCTCATCAATGCATAGAAATATATATCCATGGGCAAAACCCACACATGATCACGACCAGTGTCTGCTATATACTCTCGTGCCTCACGCGTCATGAGTATATACGTCGGTGATTCACGTGGCCATGCACCAAGGGCTGCTAGTAGATCTCGCGATGAGCGAGGTATAGAGTAGCCCCTAGGAACTTAGCTGTACAGAACGCGACTGTCGATTGATGGCTACGAGGTGGTATAAGAGGGTCATGCACACCTCAAGGCAGGCATCCCCCCGAATTGACATATCGGAATCGATTTGCCTATCTTACACCGAAACCGTACTAAACTACAACCGCTGATCCCAGCCTCTAACCTCTAAAACCCCGGGACCTAAAGGCAACGCCGACGAGAGAGGAATCTGCTCGACAAGCTCATACCTGCGCCCACAAAGGCTGCGGAAGCGCATCGCCTGGTTTGATCATTGCTTCCTGACGGCAGGATGTCGGCTGAGCTACAAGACCAGTACGACTCCCCGGAGCTGGAGGGTAGAATCCAACGTATGCCTCGCGACGGGCAGGTTCTCCTACTGTGACAGACCAAGTATGTAGGCCATAGTAAGAGGCAATGGAGTGGACGAGCCAGCGACTAAGACGATTGAGCTGGTCAGCGCTGGTTGAAAAGTGCAAGAGTCGAAGGTGGTACTTACCCAAACCCAGCGGCCCGGTCATCTACCAGGCTCTCGAAAACCAACTTCTCCCCATTACGTTCTTTATTAGCATGCATCACCCGACGCATCTGCTGCAACTGTTTCTTGCGGTCGGGTGAGTCGTGCATCTGCCCGTTCCTCCCCACAAACACAACCTCATCTTCAGAATCTTCGTCTGATGATTCTGGCGCGTCGGCTAAGCCATCCTTCTGGAGCAAAGACTGCTTCTCGCCCCATCTCCGAATGAATTGTCTGATATCCTCCTCAATATCCTGGAGCATACCCCGTGCAGCACGCGCATGCTTCAGCTTGAGGCGGAGATCCTTTGGAACCCGATGCTTCTCGCCTTTTGTGCCTCTTGCTGTCTGCTTCGACGAATTGTGGTCTATGTGCTTGTAATGGACATCCCAGAGAGGAGCGAGGTAGTATGGCATTGGGTCATGCCGAGTGTAGGTTGGCTCCACAACCCAGTCGTTAGGAGATGGTGGTTCTGCCCATGGGTTATGCAGAAGGTGATCTTTGGTGAGGACCTGTCAGTACAATTGCGTTTATGAAGGAGGTTCGCCACCCGGGATCCAAGGAGGAAGAGTCGGAAAAAACAACAATCCCCAGCCAGCGCGACAGGTCGGTTAAGACATACCGTTCTCCCAGCGTTGTCTGCGACGACTTCCATCCTTCCCCTTTCGTAACGCCTCGCGCCGCCTGAGACTATCGCGACGGAGTGGCTCCCGGCGCCGGAAACTGACCGAAGGGACTTGGTGCGCCTGGGTTGAAGTCGGACCACAGACCCCGACCCTCGGGGCGGATGCATTGCCAGCACTGGGGATTGGGTCATCGAGGGGGATTGATAAGGTAACGGTGGTCCCTCGCAAGGTGTTGCGCGTTGACGCGGACGCTGGACCGGGCCAATGCTGGTCGCTAGTAGGAACCGAATCCGCGATGGTCAGGTTCTCGAGATGCGCAGCCGCCTGTTCTGACCAAGCCGAGATAGCCCGGGCTTGCTGCGGGGACAAAGTTCCTTGGACACTCGACTGAGTGCGTAAAGTTGGGTGAATAGCCATCGCGTAGGAGACAATTTTGGACGGGAGTTTTGCTTGGGTCCGGGGCAGAGAGTTGTAAAGAATCAATAAGGGAAAAAAAGCGCGCGGCGTCGAGATCTCTTAGGTGCCAACCTTTTGTATGTACAACTAGTATAGTCGGGGTGAGCAGGGGTTGAAAAGGAGGAGAAGAGAGGAGAGGGTGTGAAAGGGGGGGGGGTGGAATAATGATAAGAGATTATGGACCGGAGTAAGTCGCGTCTGAGAGTAACTGGCTTATCACGGGTTTGAGTCAATAAACGGGGCACGAGTGCCTGAGGTTGGATCTGGTTGGATAGCGGCGGAACCCTAGCCCTAATATCCTGATGTTATTGGTTGAAGGATCATCGTCAGTCAGTATGATTCATCCATGACAGGATGTGAGTCGTTTCCTTGGAAAACCCTAATTATCATACTGGTATGTATCCGATGAGCTCAGATCTTGGATCTGATCCTTGGAATTGTATTTCCAAGTATTCCGAGACATTGAACGTACAGAATGCTACAGCTACATCGGAATTGTTTCGCAATTTTATCAGAACCATGCCTCAGTCGCAGAACAATCTGACTTTTTCTCATACATCGATGAGAACTTGAAGAAGTAGAACCGGAGGAAGATGTCGGCCTTCTTCCAAGCTGCATGAACCAGATTCTCTTCAACCAAATAGACACAGGGCGACCCTAAGGGGTCGCGCTTTGTCAGCCGGTGAATGATTCACCCGGGGGGGGGGGGCAATTGAGGCGAACGAAATCGTAGACTATGTATGCACATACTGTCTCTTCTTCTTCTCCTTCTCCCTCTTTCCTTCCTTATGTTACCTTGATTCTGGTTTTGCTTTTATTGACAATAAGAAATTCGAGTTCAAGATCAAGTCAAGTCAAGAGGAGATAGGATAGTAGTGGATAACTAGTACATATGTATTCACTGGGCGGAGTTGGCGGTACCGCCACAGACTAGCTCCTGTTATTTCCGACACACGGTCACAACGCGGGGGCCAAGTGAAAAAGGATTATTAATAGCGCCCCAGGTTTTAGTATTTCCTTGGCATTGAAAATGGGAGGTACATACAATGTACACACAACGTGTACTGTAGGTATGGTACAGAAAGAAAGAATTAAAAGATTTCAGGCAAAAAGAAATTTGATTGGAAACAAAGGGACAGCCCTTTGGATCCCTCATAATATTTCAAGTCATTGACAAAATTAAGTATTGGTTAAAAAATCAAGCATCTGAATCTATGACAAGATAGAATCTCCACTGTAGCGGCTAATGTTGCCTGCGCCTTGTATCGTATTCCACTAGTTAGTAGTGGTACAGAGTACACTCAGTGCTACCTCACCTGATGACTAGGAGCTTATAAGTACCGAGGAAGCATCTCCCCTAGAGACAACAAACAATCTTCAATAGCTACAGGAAACCCGTTGGGTTTAGTTGTTATTATCTACCATAAATCGGTGAAATAGTAACAGTTTATTAGTAGGAGTCAGCCACGCGTGACCATCAAACTACTTATACTCCCTACTACTTGGGTACTTCTCTTCCCGTCTCTCTTCTCCAACGCCCGATCATTTACATCACCGTTGGAGAGAATACCTTCCTCCCCTTCACCGTTCATTCAGGATTTATACAACAACAACCTCCCTTGCATTTCTTCTCTCCTTTTGATTTTTATTCGATATCTTTCAAATCAAGTCTTTCCGCATTGCCTATAAATATATATATATATATATATATATATATATTTCCCATTGTGATTACCTTTCCTTAATCAGCATGAAGATTCGAGCAGCTCTTGCGCTGAGCGCATCTGCAGGGGTCTTGGCTGCCGTAATCCCACAGCAGCCACTGCTGAATAACCCCCAAATTCATCATGAAAACGAAAAGTATCTCATAGAGTTGGCACCGTATCAAACAAGATGGGTGACAGAAGAAGAAAAATGGGCATTGAAACTGGTATATCCTTCCCCCACCCCCGCGACAATCTTGTTCTTCATCTCGTGTTATGCTTTCTTCTACTAACACTGACATAGGATGGCGTGAATTTCATTGACATCACTGAGGAGCGAAACCCCGGTTTCTACCCAACCCTGCACCCGGCTAGTTATGTCCAATATCCGTCGAAGATGGAACATACCGAGGAGGTTGTCGGCTTGACTCGGGGTCTCTCCAAGGCCAACATGGAGCAGAATCTGGAGAAGTTCACCTCCTTCTATACCCGCTACTATAAGTCTCAGACCGGTATCGAATCGGCGACATGGCTCTACGACCAAGTTCAAGCGGTCATCAAACAATCCGGGGCAGCGGAACATGGCGCGACCGTGGACCGATTTGCCCACCCGTGGGGCCAGTTCAGCATTATCGCTCGCATCCCCGGCACGTCGAATAAGACGATCGTATTGGGCGCCCACCAAGACAGCATCAATCTGTTCCTCCCGTCTATCCTGGCTGCCCCGGGCGCCGATGACGATGGCAGCGGAACGGTCACGATCCTTGAGGCATTGCGTGGTCTGCTGCAGTCAGACACCGTTGCCCAAGCTAAGGCACCGAATACAATCGAGTTCCACTGGTACTCGGCTGAGGAAGGTGGTATGCTGGGTTCCCAGGCGATTTTCTCCCAGTACAAGCAAGACAGACGCGACGTCAAGGCCATGCTCCAGCAGGACATGACCGGTTACATCCAGGGTGCTTTGAATGCTGGTCGCCAAGAAGCAGTGGGCATTATGATCGACTATGTCGATCAGGGTCTCTCTCGATTTGTGAAAGATGTGGTTACTACCGTAAGCCCCCTAGATTACCCTACTTTTTGCGGACACGGCCCTTTGCTGATGTGTGCCACTCTTCAGTATTGCAAGGTGGGATATTTGGAAACTAAATGTGGTTACGCTTGTTCCGACCATACCTCAGCAAGTAAATATGGCTACCCCTCAGCCATGGCCACCGAAGCTGAGATGGAGAACACCAACAAGAGGATTCACACGACAGATGACAAGATTAAGTATTTGAGCTTTGACCACATGTTGGAACATGCGAAGCTAACCCTCGGCTTTGCTTATGAGTTGGCGTTTGCTCCGTTCTAACTTTTTGGGTATTCCCTTCTTTTTTTGGGTTATGATTCACGACTTGATCTTTGCGTATGAGTGTAGTCTTTATTATTAGGAAATCACACCGATGTACCGATGATACCCCATCTAAGCATCTGCATCGATTCGTCAGACTATACTCTACACATACTTGATAGTCGCATGACATGTGACTGAATGATACCCTAGTTATTCAGGACCCCCGTCACGTGCCCCAGATGTAGTCACATATTCTTCTATATAAAGGAACTTTATCACTCTCAACAGTGCGACCCAATTATCAGTATGACCATCGACGGGTGCTCAGAATCCAATGGCAGCCACTACCCTCGATACTTTGAAGGTGTGGGCTTGGTACTGGAGTCCTTAGGTTCGAAGTGAGAAGTGCAGACATCTGGCTGCGTTTCAAAGACGGATCCATGTAGTTAATAGGTCCCAATGGTACTTCTACCCTGATAACCTTATGCCAAGAGATATTATAGGGTGACTATACCGAATAATCTGTTCACCCTGTGTGGTCGATTTTCTCCACTAACCACTTGGCAATGTGGTCTACTGTCGGGTGACTCCAAGTAAGGTTCGGTGGGATTAGAACCCCAAGAGCCTTTTGCAGCAGTCCACGCAAAAGAACGGTCATCACGCTGTCCATCCCCATATTGCTTAGTGGCTCTTGGCTCGCCACCTCCTCGCTTTCCATCTGCAGCACGTTTGCAACACACTCCCGTACTTGTTTACTGAGAGAGCCAAGTCGGTCAGCAGGGGTCAGCGGCGGACTGTGTAAGCCTCTAGAAGCAGCTAATGGGGGTTGGTGGTGGGATGAGATATGAAGATATCTTCCGGATTGCAATATCAGCGAGTAGCGGGCTGGGAAGTGGCAGTGGCTCCCCTTCCTCTAATGTATGGCCTAGGAGTACTACAGCGTGATCAATGTTGTACTTGGAGATGTGCATCCAGGCCTGGAATGCCTCTTCCCGAGAGATGCCCGTGATTCCCTTGGTCGCGAGCTCGGCTTTGACAAACGCAGAGCTAGTCGCCATGCCTATCTCGTTCCAGCTTGTCCACTGCATAGCGACAGTATTATCTCCCTGGGAGCGATAAGTCGCGAGAGCATCGAGAAATGCGTTGCCGGAAGCGTACGATGCTTGCCCAGGGAAACCAAAAAATTGGCCACACGAGGAGAACAGGACCATGAGATCTAATATGTTCGGCGGGAATAGCGTGTTTAGGGTGAGTGAGCCTGCGACTTTTGGGCAAGGACGCGCCCGAAGGAATCTGGGGTGGCAGAGAGAACAGGTTCATTATGGAGAACTTCTGCCGCGTGGATGACTCCTCGAATGGGGGGGAGGTACAGGTCATCTATGCGACTGGAAAGTTGTGAGACTGCATTATGCGATGCTATGTCCACTGAGATTGCCTGAATAGTAGCTCCGCGAGTCTCCATTGATTGGATCTTTTGGATGGCAGGTGCCATTGACGAGGACGAGTGGACAACAGAAGCCCAGTCTCTTCGACGGGGGAGTGGACGACAGGAGACTAGAATGGTTCGGCGTGCTCCTTTTTGGACAAGGGATTCTGCAGTCGCTAGACCTAAATCTCCTAAACCGCCAGTGATCAAGTATGTTCCTGAAGGGTGAGGGAGAAGTGAATGATGCTCTGGAGGGGGTAGTGCTTTGCTGCGTGGTATTGGCCGTAGAGGGGCAACACGCGGAATGCCGTCCGAGACCTGAACTATGTCGGTTTGTTGAATATATTTAATAATGGCCAATGGAAATGCCGGCACCTCTAAATCAATTAGTGCCCCCCAAGTGTCTGGAACCTCTGATGCAATGATGCGTGAGAGCCCGTGCAGAGGCGTCTGAGCCAGTGATGTGACCGATTCGGCCTTTAGCACCCCCTGAGCAAGTACAAAGACCTTCACTGTGAGTGCGGAGATAGAGATGAATCTCACGAGATCCAAAAGATCAGAGACAAACTCTTGCGAGGCAGCTGAGATGCCACCAGGACTGGAAATAAACCCAGGGATATAGGTAATTATTGCGTTCTTCTGATTCAAAACACTTACACTTCCTGCGAGTTCACTCAACCCCTCTGGGATGGTTAGCACGGTGACTGTCTGCGTTTCACGATCGATAGAGGCCACGTAACTATTAGCCAATACCTCATTTCTGGACATGAGAACAATATGGTTGATGTGCAGGGGGCTTTCGCTATAGGTTGCAGGTGACCACGCCAGCTGATGGACCAGTCCATCCAGGCTGCCTCTATTCTCAGATGTTCCGTCAATTTCCGAAATCCTCATTGAGCTTACTTGGATGAGGACTGTTCCATCTCCATTGCGGATACTGATATGTGCCGTATAATCACTATCCGTGGCTTTTTTGATATACAGCAAGGCTATCTTTGGAGGTGGCTGTTGAACTAGGATCCTCACCTCCTCGACATGAGCAGGCATCCGGAGGCGGGGCATATCGAAGAACAATGTCGATGCCACTGATGTTGCCGAGTCTAAGATTGGTGCCCAAGGATGTGTATCCCAAGGCGCTTTGCCACTGTTACTGTTGGGGCTTACGTCCACCCGAGCGACCATCTCATCCAAGTCACCATGATGCTCAGTGACGGCCCATGGGAAGCCCATATCTGAGACCCCAACAGATGCAAGGCACCCGATGCTGAAGCTGCTTTTGAGCTTGTTGTTAATACGGGCTTTGACTGCTTCAATGTTGACTATTTTGGTGGTCGGTTGCTCATCTTGTTCGGCAGTCCAGTAGCTTGTTGTGTGCGTCAGCCAGTTACTGCCGGTTTCGATACCATTGTTTTCAACGAGGCAGGTACATAGGCGGGACTGATTCGATTGCACGATTAACTGAACCTGACGGGGCTCGCTGACAGCAATAGGTATACGCAAACAAAGGTTATAGAGTACTCGAGCTCCCGTCCCTTGAAGGAAAGTATTCACCAGGACAGCGGCCGGGACAATCTCACAGCCATGCACCGGACGCCTCCCTGGAAATGGCTTTGTCTGTCTATCAAGCCTTGTTTCGTAGACAATAATGTCATCGCCCGCGACACTAGTTCTCTGGCCGAGAAGATTATGCTTGTCGACTTCATGCACTCTACTTGATTCTTCAGACCGTGCCTGGATCTGCCTGGATATTGACCGGTGATTCCAGGTTGTTGTGGGTACGTTAGGAGCCCAGGTATCTCGCATATGTTGATTCCAATCGACATTCGCCCCTTGGCAATGAAGCTGAGCCATACTGTACAAGATAGTTCTCTCCGCTGGTGTCTCGCGCAGCATGGTGTTTGTCACGATGAAATCTCCAACGCCAATATCGAGCAAAGTTTCCTCAATTGAATGAGAAACTATACGGTGCGGTGAGATCTCTAAGAAGAGCCGCTTGCGATCCTCTGCGGCCGCAGCTACAGCTGAAGTCAGCTGCACTGGATTGATCATGTTTCCTACTCAATAACGGACATCACGATCAATTGTGCTGCGGGGGTTACGTGCCGACGTGGACTAGATTGATATTTTCGACGGGGAGGGAGAAATCAAACAATTTAATGCTTCGCTAGTGGATCTATAAGCTCACGAAGTATAGGGTGATGAAACGCAATATCAGTATCCACGCGGAATATCTTAATGTCTTTGCTCTTGAGATTTTCCCCGAAAATCTCGACCTCTTCTTTTGGTCCTGAGACAACACACGACGATGGGGACGAGATTATCGCTGCCACAAGGCTTCCGGAATCCTGAATGTTGATCTCCCTTGTCATTTCCTCGAAGGAGGCACGAACTAGAATTATGGCTCCAGCTCCCATAAAACGACGGTGGAGCTTCGCACGCCTAGTGATGGTAAGGTTTCCTTCAATAGGTGTAATGTACCCCGCTGCAATTGACGCTGCAATCTCTCCAACCGAGTGGCCTATGACTGCATTACAACTGACGCCCTGGGAACGCAGGACCCCACTCAGTCCTATTTGCATGAGGTAGGTCAAAACTTGGACTTGGTCCGAGCCGCCAAGTACCCCCGACTTCATCGCCTGAATGGCTGAAAATCCCATCTCTTCCTGCACGATTGTGTCGACTGAATCAACAACACTCCGAAAAATCGAATAACGAAGTAGTTCTTGGGCCATGTCTGCCCATTGAGCGCCATGTCCCGAGAATACCCAGACCACAGGCTTACTGTCACTCTCTGTAATTCCACCTGATGTGCTCCACCTTAGAGGGGACTGGCAGGCAAAAGCACTTAGCTTCCTTGCTGAATCGTCGTGGCTTTCAATAACGAATGCAGCCCGGTGCTTGCGGTGATTTTGACGCGTTCCCAGTGTGGTTGCAACACACCCCAGGTCATGTTGCTTTCCATCAATGGATATCCACTTGACGTGTGTGGCTGCTTGGATCTCGAGTTGCCTTCTCTGCGGCGCTGAGTGAAGAAGAATTTGGGTCTTCTTTGGCCATTGTTCCTTCGAGCTGATCGGTGGATCTGGCTCGATATACTGCTCAATAATTCCGTGAGAGACGGTCCCGCCGTATCCATAGGAACATACGCCTGCACGGCGTGGGTATCCCGAGTCCGGCCATTCTTCACACTGTCGCACCACTGGCACCCCCTCACTCCAGTCCACCTTGGTGTTCAGTGTCTTGAGATTGGATTGAGGGGGTAAAATGCCCTTCTGTACCGACATGACTGCCCTGATAAAACCAACAGCATCCGCGCCCGCTTCAAGATGCCAACATTCGGTTTCACAGACCCAATGTAACATGGCTTATCTGGACGTCTACCCTTCCCATACACAGTAGAAATTGCGGATACCTCTGTTGGATCACCCACTGGTGTCGAAGTCGCATGGGCCTCCACGTAATCGACAGTGTTCGGGTCAACCCGAGCTATTTCCAGCGCCTTTCTCGCTACCAGCTCTTGCGCTTTCTGGTCGGGGGCCATGATTCCGTTCGTATGCCCATCCTGGGCCACGGCCGTCCCTTTAAGGACAGCCAGAATGTGATCACCATCCATGACCGCTTCTGCCATACCTTTGAGAATAGCCACAACTGCTCCTTCACCACGACCGTAGCCGTTTGCTGCATCATCAAATGAGTGACAACGGCCATCGGAGGATAAAGCGCCGGCTTAATCAAATATACTGGTTAGGCCTGGACCGAAAATAGCGTTCACTTCCCCTACAATGGCAACCTTAGACTCTCTACTCAAGATCACCTATCTTCCCAAATGGATGGCGACTAGTGAGGATGCGCAAGCAGCATCTATCGCAGTACTTGGTCCCATCAGGTTCAAATGGGTAAGATATTCGATTGGCAACGCCGCAATAGGCGGTCCCAATGCCCATCCACGGCTCCACGTGAGGCAAGTCTTCTAGAAGTTTTCCATAGTCGTCTGAGTTCACGCCCATGAAGACAGCGGTTACAGACCTGGACAGATTCTCTATCTTAGGAACCTAATGGCCTATTTTGAACTTGACCTTGAGAGGCCCCCAGAGGTTATCCAGCTCAAGGGGATTACAGTCTCCCGGTCCAACATTTTGATGGTGCTTCTCGGACTGTTCTGCCTCTATACTGGTCTTCATATCGCCCGGACATCCTGGAAGCTGAGGCACTTCCCTGGTCCCTTTGTGGCTCAGTTCACAGATGTAGGAAGGCTCTGGTGGGTCAAAAGCGCTCGTTCGCACCACTACCATATGGCCTTCCATGATCGCTATGGGGAATATGTCCGGTTAGGACTGAGTATGGTATCGATCTCGGACCCGGATGCTATTGCTCTGGTGTACCCGATTCGCGCAGGGCTCTCAAAGGTGAGTGAGAAATAAAACGTTTGGCTCGCGTAGCAAGTGGGTGGCGGCTGTGCTCATGCGTACGGGGGGTGTACAGAGTGATTTCTACCGGTCAATGATGCCATATACAAGAGAGGGCTACGCACTGCGGCTTTTGTTCAACACGCGCGATGAAACCCTCCATAAGAGACTGAAGTCTCCTGTTGCTCATCTGTATTCCTTGTCAAATGTCCTGACATTTGAGAACTTCATCGACCAGGTCCTGGAGATCCTCTTTCGGCAATTTGAGGAACGCTTTGTTCCTGGACAGACGGTATTTGATCTAGGGAACTGGTTGCAGTACTTTGTATTTGATGTCATGGGGACTATGTCTTTCTCCCGGCGATATGGATTTCTTGAGAAGGAGAGAGACGACCCGGGGCTGCTTCCCGCTATTTGGGCTTTTATGAAGGCTGCTGCGCCAGTGGGCAAAACAACTACGATGACCATTCGGATGGGTCCAACTGAACTGCAATAGGTCACGCAAATCCCATGGGTCGATTTAGTGTGGAACAAGAACCCCCTCGTAGCATTTTCCGGCTTACACCAGCACAGCCGATCATGAATGTTGTGCTGTCAAGAATCAATGAACGGCGAGAAGAACTGCGCAATCGCGCAAGTTTCTTGGAAAAGGTCGACGAGAAGGACTTTCTATCTCGGTTTATGTGTATCCAAGCGGAAAGCGACACAATTCCACCTTGGTAAGTGATGTGCAGGAGATAGTTTCTTCCAGCTTAGACTGACCAACAGGGCTGTGACAGCGTGGTCTTTCTCTAACGTGATTGCGGGTTCAGACACCACCGCTGTGGCCATGAAGACACTTTGGTATAACTTGCTACGGCATCCAATAACGATGTCTCGCTTACGCGAGGAGCTTCTCCAAGCCCGGCGGCAGTCCAGATTATCTCACCCATTCCCAGCATGGAACGAGATCTTTGGATTACCCTACCTTAACGCCTGTGTGAACGAAGCACTCCGGATACACCCACCATTTTGTCTCCCCTTCGAACGAATTGTTCCCGAAAGAGGCATGACGATTGGTGGTCATTTCATCCCCGGTGGAACAGTGATCGGGATGAACCCATGGGTAATCAACCGCCATCGCCCCACATTCGGCGAAGATGCGGACGCCTGAAGACCTGAGAGATGGCTCGAGGGTCCAACCCGTACCCGCAGGATGGAGAATACGCTTTTAAGCGTGAGACTATGTTAGACCCTTGGAGATAAAGAAAGGTTAACGACAAGTACGTAGTTCGGCGCACGGAGGCGCGTGTGTCTTGGGAAAAACATCGCGCTCTTGGAGCTCAAGAAGCTCATTTCCGCTCTTGTGCTTCACTATGAGGTTTGCATGCTATCAATTCTCGTGCAGAGCGATATAATCATACCTAACCGTGTGTAGTTGAAATTGTAAAGCCAGTGAAGTTTCAGACTCAGAACTTCTTCTTCAAACAAAAAGGATTAAATGCGACAATCAAGAGACTTGTGGAAAGTTCGTTTGGAGTACTCGATACCTAAATGATGTTAGCGGATATTTCCTTAGTTTTTCTTTCTGTAGGATGGGGAGGGCTGATCAATGATAGTAACATCGAGTCTATGTTTGGGTAGTTATAGCTCTGATATGTAAGGGATTTGAAGAATTCTATCAATAGACGTACTGTACATTACAATGAGAGTAGGGTATGAAACCGATCAGTTGCCCTCCACGGCGCTAGTCCCGAACTGGCCACGCTAAGCCCAACAGGGCAGACCGCAAAACGAACCTTCTGATCATTCAAATCAAGTGACACAATCCAATCGCCACTCCTCCGAGGAGGCATCTTACCTTATACGATCCATTGGAATCTGAAGCTGTTGTATTGTGTTTCTCAACCAGTCAGTAATTGGATTCTCATTGGCTCTGCGGAGATTTTGAGATCTTGCGCATTTCCATCTTCGCATTCAGTGTCAAAAGACCAAATAGACCTGGAAGTCAGTTGTCGCTGCGTGAGATTTGTGTACCGACACTTCTCGTACCTGCAGGACAACGTTTGCTATCTCTTGTTCTGAACTGCTGGACAGTTGTTTTCTTTTCTTGACCTACACGTTGAGATACACACACATACACACACACACACACACACACACACACACACACACACACACACATATATATATACACCGAGGGACCAATTGAACTCAAGAGATTTACAACATGGATCTCACTCATCCTTATGCCAAGGAGCTTGAGCTTGCCTGCCTCACAGTTCAACGAGCTACTCGTTTGACTAAGAAGGTGCTCGAGGCGGTTGACAAGGGGGCCTTGGACAAAAGCGACTCGAGCCCCGTGACCATTGCCGACTTCGCTGCCCAAGCATTGATCATTGGGGCTATTCATCGAGCCTTCCCCGACGATGACATTGTGGGCGAAGAGGACTCGAAGGCTCTACGGGCGAATGAGGCGCTACTTGAACGTACTTGGGACCTAGTCTCCTCTACCCGTCTGGACGATGAAAAGAGTGAGGCACTCCTGTACTCCCCGAAGTCGAAGGAGGAAATGCTTGACTTAATTGATCTGGGTGCTCGCGGCACCTGTAACCGAGAGAACCGCTCTTGGATCCTGGATCCCGTCGATGGCACCGCAACGTTCATCAATGGACAGCAGTATGCGGTCTGCTTGGCACTAGTAGAGAAGGGGGCTCAGAAGCTCGGGGTGTTGGGTGCTCCGAATCTCAACCTTGAAACAGGTCGCATGCACGAAGAGAGCGTAGACCGGGATGGGTATGGATATCAACTGTTCGCCGTTGTCGGTCACGGCGCATTCATACGGCCGATGAGCACGGGGGCCCTTCTGCCCGCTACCAAGCTCGAGCCCAAGGCTCAGATTACGGATCCCAAGGACCTGGATTTTGTGGACTGTGTGGCAGCGACCTCATCGAATATTGTGGCGCATGAACGTCTGGCGTCCCACCTGGGTGCGCCGTGGCCACACACGACGGATCTTTGGGCGGCACAGCTGCGATATGTGGCAATTGCGGTGGGTGGGTGTAATACTCTGATCAAGATCCCCCGCAAGGCTTCCTATCGATCGAAAATGTGGGATCACGCAGGGGGGATGCTGATCGTGGAAGAGCTGGGGTGTTTCGTCAGCGACCTTGCGGGCAATCCGGTGGACTGCAGCCTGGGCCGGACCTTGGCTGGTTGTTACGGAATGATTGTCGCGCCAGTATCCATCCACGGGCGACTGGTGAAAGCCGTGAAAGAGATCATGTAAAATATATATATGCAATAAATTAATGACAATGCTGTGTATAGATATTTTCTGCGTGAATATATAAATAAGTACTTCGACTAGTATCGGACCAGTCAGATTATACTCGTGTATGCACGTATTCTTTTTATATGGTTTACTGGATTTATGATGGCATGATTATCATATCATATCTGGATCTATACAGGTCTAGTGACGTCATCGAGCAGAATTGTCAGAATATACCTACCCGTAAAAAAATAAAATCAAAATTAAAACCAGGGAATTAAAGAAGGCAAATGATAGGATCAATCAATTGATCAATGAATGAACGAATTAATAAATCTTAAAGAACTGAAAACTATTCCTGAACCGTTGAAGGGGGGAGTTGAGTGAACCAGTGAGTGAACCAGTGAGCTTGAAGAGCGCGACGTCAGGCGATTGACGATAAATGCGGGGGGAAACGTATTTTATAAGTATATTCATTCATACCTTTCTCTCTCTCCTTTCCTTTTTTCCCCATCCCTTCAATCTTTCTCTTCCTCCTCCCTCCCCTCTCCCTTAACTGTACTACATATATATATACACATACATACAAACACGCATGATGGCTTCATGTACGTCTCCCCCGAAAAAGGCAATCTATCCATCTATTCCACCGAGTACTCACTACCCTCAATAGATAATCCATTTTCCAAACGAGAGTCGTATGGTTCGTACTCTCTGGGTTCCTACCGTCTGCTGGTTCCCATGTCCTGGTTACTCGTAGTGGTAGTTGGCATCTATGATACCATCCATGCCCCTAAACACGGTCATGGCGTCTTCAACCAGGCCAACCACCATCTCACGCCGTTCAGTCTGAGCACGGTTGTCACGGGGATTTACTGGTACACACCAATTACTCCGTGAAAAATCATCAAAACTAATGCCGATCCGATACGATAGGGCCATTCTACTACTTACGCAACTTATGTATATCTACCATCTCTTCCATAAAGATGCCTCCATCGTCACCGCGACCGCCAACGTGGGTGCGCACTTTATCCTTAACAACCTGCTTGTCTTCGCCTGGATCCTCTTGTGGACGCGGGGCCACTTCTGGGCCTCCGAGATCATCCTGATTGCTCAGCTGATCAACCAGCATTCGGCGTACTGGAGACATCGGTCCCTTCCTCCGTTGGTACACTTGTCAGCAATCGCGGGGCCTTTTGCCTGGACCCTGATAGCGCTGTTCTGGAATGGTGCGGTGGCCGTGCATAGCAACTCGTTGCTCGCGAGGATTGTCGCCAATATCTTTATCTGGGTGATCTTCCTCATTGGCGCAACCCATATTACGGTCCGACAGGATGATCTCTTAGGCTACTGCTTGAGTTTCTTGTTTCTCGGTAAGTATTTCCGTGTATTTCTGATGTGTCGGTGAAATGGACAAGCGGACTGACCCCCATGCAGCGTTGGCCCTCGAGCAAATCGCTATCAAAACCATTGCCCTGCAGTGGATCTTTGCCTTTGTGATCTTCGCCGTCTTCTTGGCGGAATCGCTCTACATCTCCGGCACCAAGTATACGGGCCGCGACGTTCTGCTCCGGAAGCTCACGCGTCCAGAGACCGCGGATCGTGAGCGAGAGCCCCTGCTTAATGAGCAGTCGGGAGCAACGGCCTGATGGTGGGTCACCGACTGCGTGCAGTCAGGGCCCTAAAAATTGGTATTGTCTTGTTTTATTTTCCCTAGTCTTCTATCGGGTGGATTGGATGCACGGTGTCGTTTTTTAATATTGACTTATCCCCACTTTTTGTCCCACTTGGTTGAATATCTGATTAGTTCCTTCATCGCTGTATCTTGCGTCTAGGGGGAAATGGGGTGAACGAATTGTAATGTTGTAATATATGGATAAATGCGCCTTGGGAGGTTGTTTGTTAAACTATTTTGTAATTGATTTCAATTGATGTGAAAAAAGTCCCCGCCTAAAAGCGTTAAACCCATCATGTGCTCCACCCGTGATCTTTTACTGCTGCTGCTTCTTCTGTTTCGACCCTGATGGAACCTCTAGATCGATGCCACTTTCACAGGGACCATAACGAACTCAAATGTGATTTCATTTCCAGATTATTTTGAAATCAGGCACCGCACTGGTAATGTTTCAGTCGATCGAGTAGATTAAATTGAACTGCAAGCAAGGATGAAGACGCCCCGCGTGCAAAACACCTCCGTTGCCGGGGCAACAGTAGTGCCTCCACGCTGCTCCATTCATGGCGATCGGACTAAAAAGGTCGGTATCCATGGTAAATCTCCAGGTGCCAGGGCCTGGATTTAATTAACTAAACTCTTCCTGTTGACGTCTGGACTGCGATCGTGGTTTGTTTATGAACGTGCCATCATCCCGCACTACAGAACGATCATAGAGTGAGATTTCTATTAACCTGAACAAACGACCTGGGGAAACCTGTCTTCGCAACTGGAGACATTCCTGGTTTGTTTACCTGTCAACGTGCTTTACTTCAGATCTCCTCTCGTGGTGAGTCGCATTCCAGAACTACCGCATCTAGTAAAGTCCATTGCAGAACGATTTCAACTGACGTTTTGTTGTCAACTGTGTCTCAAGTTGGAGGACAGCTGCAACTCATTTGACATTGCCTTGTGATCGGAGTACGGTAGCTGTTTTAACTAGTCCCACTCGCTATCGATTGATGATGCGAAATTGATATCGGGGCGACTTTGAATCATGAATCCCAACTCGTCACACATGTATCCGCCAGCGCCGAATTATGAAGAAGAACCCCCAGCATACGGCTATGGAGGCTCTTACCTCTCCGAGAACGAATCCCCGCGTCATGCCGCGCCAACAATGCGACTGCTCCCCACGAGCACAACGGTAGACAACGACGTTGGGGCTCAGGTGGGGAATATCTCAGCCTATCACTACGGTGAAGCATACGAGGAAGACGAAGATGATTCTCCGTAAGTGTCGCACCCTGTCATGTTCTTCCCGCATGCCTGTGACTCCATCGGAATCTGCACCCCCAGGGTTCAGTTGCCCAGTTCCCTCCCCCTTGTTTGTGTCGAGCCAATGATGGTTTCATGTACGGCAAGCCCAAGTCATCTGCTGGGAAAACAAGGGAGTTGGTTTTGTGGGTACCTAGTCCCCAGGGGAGCAGACAATATATACAAGCGTGCCCTTTTGTCCTTTGTATACCCTAAACCTCCCCCTCAGAGTGACTAAGGAGATCTGTACCTCGAGTGTCGACGGAATTCCCACCGTGGATACTTCGAATACGTTCTCCAGAATGCCGCGGCAGAGAAGACAGAGAATTAACGCACGTATCCCTCGTAATAGAACGGACCACCCAAGCCAATTATCGAACCGGTACTATCAATATGCAACGGAGGATGCGCCTTCACGACCGGTTTCCAGCATGCGGAATGCTCCCACCATCCCGCCACCTGCAGCATCAGTAGACGATGCACCCGAGTACTCGTCGCGTTCGGGGTCTCCAACCCGGCCATGGTCTCCCAACCGCGCCACTGACTGGACTAGGCCCCCAAGACCCCCGTCGGTTTCGACTTCACATTACGAACGAGCGGACATCAATGGCAGTCCGCGCCCGGGGACACCCAGTTCGAGATATGGAGGTAGTCCGAGGCGACCGCTGCCACCAGCCCCATTATTCACAGCGCCACGATCCACCGTTGGTGAGCAGGATACCAGCATCGACATCGGGGATCCGGACGACGACGTGTTCGGTGGTGGTGGAAGGACGATAAACCGCCATCGCCAGCATGGCAGTGTTCATTCTTTCATGAGCGAGTCGACCGTGATCATGGATGAAAAAGAAGCAATGAACAAGATCGAGCTCGGTGACGACGACGAGGCGACGGAAATGGTCGATCCAAACCTGCATTACGGGCCTGCGCCAGAGAAGCAGAGTCGGCGAGGGGTTCGAGACGCCCAGATGTCCAAGAAGGAAGTTCAGCTCATCAATGGCGAACTGATCCTGGAATGTAAGATTCCGACCATCCTGCACAGCTTCTTACCGCGCCGGGACGACCGAGAATTCACCCATATGCGGTATACCGCCGTGACCTGTGACCCCGACGATTTTACACAGAGAGGATATAAATTACGGCAGCAAATCGGCACGACAATGAGGGAAACCGAACTGTTCATCTGTGTCACCATGTATAATGAGGACGAGATTTGTTTCACTCGAACCATGCACGGTGTCATGCGAAACATCAGTCACCTATGCTCCCGCTCCAAGTCGCGAACATGGGGAAAGGATGGATGGAAGAAGATTGTGGTTTGCGTTATCGCCGACGGTCGCAAGAAAGTGCATCCTAGGACACTCAATGCATTGGCAGCCCTTGGTGTATACCAAGAAGGTATCGCGAAGAACGTTGTGAACCAGAAGCAAGTCAATGCACACGTCTACGAGTACACCACTCAAGTGTCCCTCGACTCCGATCTCAAGTTCAAAGGAGCCGAGAAGGGAATCGTGCCGTGCCAGGTCATCTTCTGTCTGAAGGAACACAACAAGAAGAAGCTTAATTCGCACCGTTGGTTCTTCAACGCTTTTGGTCGCGCCCTCCAGCCCAACATCTGCATCCTTCTCGATGTTGGTACAAAGCCTTCGTCTACCGCGCTGTACCACTTGTGGAAAGCATTTGATCAGGATTCCAATGTCGCCGGAGCAGCTGGAGAAATCAAAGCAGGCAAAGGCAAGGGGATGCTGGGTCTGCTGAACCCGCTGGTCGCCAGTCAGAATTTCGAATACAAGATGTCGAATATTTTAGACAAGCCGCTAGAATCCGTGTTTGGATACATTACTGTGCTGCCTGGAGCGCTGAGTGCTTATCGTTTTTTCGCGCTGCAGAACGATGCCGAGGGCAACGGACCCTTGAATCAGTACTTTAAGGGAGAGACACTACATGGAAAAGACGCGGATGTGTTCACGGCGAACATGTACCTGGCCGAGGATCGTATCCTGTGTTGGGAGCTCGTGGCCAAGAGGGAGGAAAGATGGGTCTTGCGATTCGTCAAGAGCGCTGTAGGAGAAACAGATGTCCCAGACAATGTTCCTGAGTTCATCTCCCAAAGACGACGTTGGCTGAACGGTGCTTTCTTCGCCGCCGTGTATTCGATTGTGAACGGAAAGCAGTTGTGGAAGACCGACCACTCGCTGCCGCGAAAGATCCTCCTCCAGATTGAAGCGGTCTACCAATTCGTTCAGCTGCTTTTCACATACTTTGGTCTGGTGAGTACTTTGGGACTCTACTGTATGATTGATGCTGACAAGCGATAGGCAAATTTCTATTTAGCATTCTTCTTCATTGCCGGATCGCTTACGGATCCGAAGATTGACCCATTTGGCCATAGAATAGGCAAATGGATCTTTATCATATTGCGATATGCCTGTACATTAGTCATGTGCTTGCAGTTTATTATCTCCATGGGTAATCGGCCGCAAGGGTAAGTGATTATACCGTTGTGCTGGACGGTCGTTCTATGCTAACAGTTCGCAGAGCCAAGAAGTTATACCTCTCTGGGATGATCGTGTATAGTATCATCATGGTCTATACTGCTTTCTGTACAATTTACCTGGTTGTTCTAGAGCTGATCGCAAAAACCGGGGGAAAGAGTGACCTCCCTGTCAGCGATGGACTCTTCATCAATATCGTGGTGTCCCTTCTCTCGACTGTCGGTCTCTACTTCTTCTCCTCCTTCCTGTACCTCGACCCCTGGCACATGTTCACATCATCGGCGCAATACTTCGCGCTTCTGCCTAGTTACATCTGCACTCTGCAAGTGTATGCTTTTTGTAATACGCACGATGTCACATGGGGTACTAAAGGAGACAACGTGATCAACACCGACCTGGGCACGGCCCGCATCATTAATGGGTCTATTGTGGAAGTTGAGATGCCCTCGGAGCAGCTCGACATCGACAGTGGGTATGACGCAGCGCTGCGTAATCTTCGTGATCGAGAGGAGGTACCCGAGCCCCCGATCTCGGAAAACCAGTTGCAAGAAGATTACTACCGGGCGGTTCGTACATACATGGTCTCCATCTGGATGGTTGCCAACGTGATCCTCGCCATGGCGGTGTCTGAAGTTTACGGAGTAGACTCCGGCGGCACTAACATCTACCTCGCCATTATCCTGTGGTCCGTGACCGGTCTGGCGGTGATTCGTGTGATCGGCTCCACGACGTACGCTATTTTGCATGTGGTACAGAAACTTGTGGAGGGGAAAGCCAAGTTCGACGCCGGGAATCTCACCTATGGGACTGGCAGTGCGAATTCCAGTGCGGTAAATGGCAGCACGGTGCAGTACGGTGGAGGTGGCACGTTCAGGGATAAGTTCACCGAGGCTAAATGGGGAATGAAGCAGCAGATGGGCAAGGCAATGTTTTGGCGAAAGTGATGTCCTTTACGTTTTCTTTCTTATGTCATGTTGAACTGCGATTTTTTCTGATGAAAATATGGTCATGGTTACGGTTATGGATTGTATGTACTGATGAAGAAGGATCCATGATATAATAAATGTACATGTATGAGCCTGCAAGGACTCATTGATCCTTTTCGGGAATGCGTACGTTGCTTGAAGCGAGTTCCATCTCAGAGGTGAGCAACTTGTTCGCCATCTCTGTTTCGGGAGTCTAGCTATAGACGTAAAAAACTAGATCATCCACACCAACCTCGCTCACAGTCTGGCTCTCTCCGACCCACAAATCACCCCCTCAACTACCTTCGCGGCTGCGATGGTCTCCTCATCCTTAAAATGTCTTCCGACCACTTGCAGGCCCACCGGGGCCCCCAAGAAGCGACCAGGATCCACCCACCACTTCCTCCATTCCCTCGCCTCAACCTCGCTCCTGGCCTTCCAGCCACTCCTCTCCTCGACACGGCTTAGATCTTCATCTTCAACTTTCATACCGGAAGGAAACACTACGGCCGGTAGATCCAGGATGTTCCAAATTGCGGTATAATTCCAATACTGAGCCTCACCCAAGGCAGCGGCAACGCCCACATAGGCAGGACAGAGAATGAAGTCCACCCCTTGCGTTTTCATCAGCGCATGGTACTCGTCCCTGTACTTGTCACGGGCGATGTTCAGCGCCCAGGTCTCGGCGATGGAGAATGGGGTCGGGTGGGCGTAGGAGAAGGCCCAGCTTGTTAGGGGGAGGGTGGGCTCGCTGGTTTGCGCGATGAGGTGTTTTTGGGAGGCGGCCGAGTCCGGATAGTAGAGTTTTGACTGTTACTTTCTGTTAGTCACCTGTCACTCCCCAGCCTTGTCTAGTGAGAGAGGCTGGGGTGCTAGGAGGGGAAAAAGGGGAGAGGTCATACGATGATGTCCCAGCCGTGGGCGTGCTTGTAGGGTTCCCAGTCCACGACTTTGATGCCGGCCGCTTGAAGCTGGGATTTGGCGGCCTCGAGTGCTCGGGTTATTGGGGGGTGAGGACGGACTAGCCTGTACTCTACTCGTTGGCTTCTTCATCCTAGATATCTTACATATCATACAGCTTGCATGTCCTCTGAAAGCGTTGCTTAAGGGTAAAAGCGAAGGGGAACAGGTGCACGTACCCATCATCCCACATGATTCCCACTGTAAACTCCCTGTTTTCCTTCACTCGTCTCCACGGAAGAGGAACGAGCGAGGTCTCGATATCCCACGGCTCAGCATCTAGAACGGCCCTCTGGAACAGCTCGAGGTCATCAATACTCTGCGCTGCCAGTGGGCCCACAACGCCGAGGATGGCTTCCTGGCCCGGTTCCGGCGCCTTGATCCCCAGACAGGGATTTCGACGCATTGTCGGTCGGAACCCGTAGGCATTGCAGAAGGCCGCCGGGGCTCGGATCGAACCCCCGATATCTGTGCCTATGCCGAGCGGTGCACATTTGAAACCCATCGAGGCGCCTTCGCCGCCGGATGAGCCACCAGGGGAGAGGGAGCGGTTGAAGGGGTTTGTGGTAGTTCCTGTTAGGTTGTTGCTGCAACAGAGGTGCTGTTTCGTTCCTTTTAGCTATATCGTATCTGATTTTATTAGAAGGAGTGGGTGTTAATACCATGAGAGATTGGGGTTGGTTTGTCCGGACGTGAAAGATGGCGCCTGCTTTGTGGAGACACTGTAGGATGAGGGCATCTTCCGGGGCGATGTCGTTTACCCTGTGCTTGTTTGTCAGTGGATTTCGTTGGCTGATATGGGGAACTGACCATGCTACGTAGCCGGCATTGCAGGTGAGGTCTTTGATGCCAATATGCTCTTTCACGCTGATGGGGACTCCGTGCTATGCACGTTTGTTAGTTCTCGGGGTTCACATAAACTGATATAGATCTGACTGTCCGGGAGGATTCATACCAAAGGTCCGACCAGTTTCCCCGTCCGCTTATAGTAGGCATCCAACTCCCTGGCTCTGACAATGGCTTTCTCCGCCATGAACTCCGTTGCAAAGTTAAGCTATGGCGGATCAACACAGTGTCTCGTGTCAAAGACAAATGCGAAAGGGCGAAAAGTGTGAAACGTACCAACTGATGCCCCAAGACAGCCCGCTTCAAGAACGCAGCCACCACCTCCTCTGCGCTCAGTATTCCCGCTCCCATTCCAGCCACCAGGGCCGTAGCGGACATGTCTGTGATGGACAGTTCTTTATCGTTGAGGAGTCCACAGGTCCTGGGGAAATCCAAGACATTCTTCTGGTCCGGTGGGGGCAGCTTATTTACGGGAAGTAACCATTCCTTGGGGATCGAGTTTTGCAAGATGGTCTTTGCTTTGAGGGCTTCAGTTTGCCAGGACATTGCTTTTATTGAGGGTCGGTTGTGTATCGACGGATAATCTGAAAGAAGCGAAGGAACACGAGATTGAAGAATGACGTTTTATAGGAGAGGGGAGGATCTTCAGTCGACGTCCTTCTCCTCACGACATTTCCATATCGCTCCAATCGCCGTGTCGGAGATATGGCCCAATAAGAATAGTATCATGTTTTATCTCAGATCGACAAGTCGGAATTAATTCCGCCTAGGAATGAAGTCTATTCCCTATTATTTCGAATTCTACGTAAGGAGATGTTAAATAACTAGCCTCGAGACACCCAGGTTCATTTCGTCGGATGTGATGTAGTTGCCCCAAAACCTCAAGCCTTCGATGCCCTCCTCTCGACAAAGAATCCCTCGATCTTCGGCCATTTCTAGCTCTTCCGCGGCAACCCCGACGCTCCATTTAAACCGTTGTGCGGCTTCTTGCGCTGTGATCGCACGTCCAAACACGTGCCAATCCCAGTGAACAGCTCCAGACCCAGCCGGCGGACTTTGTTGGAGCTCCAATAGCCAATCCTGCAGCTGTTGGATGGTTTTCTCGTCGCTCCAGTCATATCGTTGGACAACAAGTAGGCCGCTCTTAAACCGGCGCAGACGGACGGGTAACCTCAAAGTCTCCCATAGCTCTGCAGCTCTTTGGAAATCGGACGGGCTGACCAGTTCCACCCCATTTCGGGACCGATTAAAGAGGGCCCAGAGATCGATCAGGCTGATGATCCCGCCTTCGTTTTGCAGGATCCCTTTTCTTTCATCGGTGAGATATTCCGCTAGGTTTCGAGAGAGCTCGGATAGATATAAGTTCTCAGAGCCAGAGCTAAGCATATCCTTTGTCGTTACCATCCCCAGTGCGGCCGCCGACTCCGAGAGAACCGCGCTCGTTTCCAGTGACGTCTCGTCACCCATGCCTGACTCTCTCGCCAGGGTTTCAGCAAGCGTAACAATCTGTTTAGCCGATGCCATAAGAGCCTCCAGGTCTTCAAACGCGTTCCCGATAACAACCTCGTTGTTTCGGCGAGCCTCGAGTCCCCGCTGCTCTAGGCCTGCAATTCCCGGAGCTGGCGATCGAACCGGAGTAGACATGGGCCCATTGGTACGCGATGTCAGGTTAGGGAAGGATGCATTGGGCGAAGGCTGCTGTGGTACAGGTGGGGCATTATACAGCAACCATTTCCTCTGGACTAGTGCCCCCTTGAGCCGCTCGTAGAAGATCTTCTCGCCTCCTCCCCGGAACGATAATTTGATATAATCCGAGATCTTAGTATTTTTGATACTGCCTTGTTGGAAAAATGGTGCTGGAGATTCCGAGCGATGCTGGCGGCTATTGAGAGCCTCCAAGGCACTTGACAATGAGGCACCGCATATTTCACACTCAAGGAGGAAAGGGTGATTTACAAAGGTGCACCTGGAGCATGACACTAGGGGTAGTCCCGTATCCCTAGCGCCATTGCTTGGGGGTACATCCTCCGTAGGCTCGGTGGAGTTTATTGAGCCCCCCTCATGGGGCGCCGCCGCAGCCGCAGCCGCAGTAATCGCCGCCTTTAACACAGTAGTAAAAGGAGGCTTAATGCCGCAAGCCAGGCAAGGTGGGATGTTTGTCGCCCTCGCTGTGGAGGGGTCGAAATTCGATGGTATAGGGTTGGAAAATGTGCATATAGGACAGATCCACGTGGCGCTCACCGGTGTCGGCGCCGATGGTTTCAAGCATGGTAGGGAGCTTTGTACGAGAGTAGGCTGGGACCTCGATGGACCCATGCCTTTGGAACTGGAACCGTTCTTCGGTGGCTTGGGGTGTAATGTGATCTTCGGTGCGGATTTCAGGAAGCCTGCCTGATATTGACGTGTGTAAGTACTCGACCAGGATCAGTCCAAAGACTGAGAGGTGTCATACTTGGTACTCTGCTCTATCAATATCTCTCAAGTCAATCGCAACCGAGTGTTTGCGGGGTTCCTCCACCGCGACATAACAGACTCGATGGGATGTGAGGTATGCATGGCCATCTTGAAAATTTGGGATCTTGTATTTGCTACTCAAGTAAAGATATATATATATACATATCAGCACAGCATTACAGGACCGACTTGAAAAAAGAGACGATCGATCACTCACCCTTCGTACAACCCAACCGCATCCTGGACGAAGAGGAGGGTCTCATCGGGCAACAGCGAGGGACGGAGTGCTGTACTTAGATCCAACGGCTTGAAGAACATTTAGGAGGTTCGACCAGCATCTCTGTCTTTCTATCTTTACCACACAAAAGGAAAAGACTGTGAAGAAAGAAGGAAGGAAAGGAGTTGAGTTGGAAGTTGACCACGAACTTTAGTCAGTCATTCAGAGTATTGATGTCAGAGTCCCAATACGGGAGGCGGTAGAGCCCACTGCCGCCAAGAGATGTAAGCGAAGGGAACTTAACCTCTTTCTCACTTTCAAAGAACAACTCATTTCCCATCGTCAGCTTCCCAATCCTTCGCCGCCGACCTTGTTCTTCTTTCATTACTTAAGCTGGCTCTTACGTCTCATTAGTGTGATCGTATTCAGCTTTGCGCTTCTCCCTCCCTCTCTCCCCCGGTGTAGGAAGTTTCTGTTCGAAGCAATATATCCTTTTTCACAAACAATCCCGTAGTTCTTCCCCTTTCTTTTCTTATTCTCTTATATATTGTCATTCCAAAGCATCACTTTTCTTGTGGTCGGCATCTACTTCTTTTGCCCTCTTCTTCTCATTTATTTTATTGTTGTTGCCCCATAAGATGAGTTCGTCCATTCCACCATGGCGTGTGACTGCGTCAGCCACTACCGCTCAGTCATATCCCACACACGGTATGTCATATGGTCAGTGTTGGTATTTATTGCCAGTCAAATCTAACTCGTGATAGCGACCCCATCGTATATCCCAGTCCAAGCACGCCGTAGCCTTGCCCATACAGCTGCCGCGAGTTCCCTTCCAGCTGCAGCGTCGAAGCCGTCGGCTACCGATACCGCCTCTCGCAAACGAGTAGAATGGCCAGCCCCTGTTCGCTTATATGTACAACGCAGTTTTGCTCCGGAGCACCAGATGTCCTCGGTCAGCCGAGAGGAGATGGAGACCAAGTTGAAGGCCATCATTACTGAGGCCGCAGAGGGCAACAAGTTGGATAATATCGACTGGGAGACCCTGCCATTACCCCAGATCATGATCCAGAACGAGCGCAACCGGATCTTGGCCAGCCCAAGCGTGCCGGCTTGGAGCGCGGTGCCTGCCCACAAATATGAGAGCACCTCGGACGCAGTGTCGAGGAAACGGAAGTCGGTTGAGTACAATGGGGACACGAATAGCTGTCCACCATGGAGACAAACTACTAACCATCACAATAAATTTGAAGACCGAGTCACTTATCCCCCTACAGACAAACGACAGCGGATAGATAATAAGAATTCAAGTAAGTCCAAAGCTAATCTGGAACTGCGGAAAAAACGCTTCGAGGAATCACGGTCCAGATACGGTTCTTCGCCCTCGTCGCGCGATGATTCCCCCTCTGCCAGTGCCAACCAGGGCCCCGTCGTGGGAAGGTGTCAGGATCTGGAGAAGAATTATTTCCGTTTGACGTCAGCGCCAAACCCGGATACTGTCCGCCCTCTACCAGTCCTGGTAAAGACACTGGACCTGCTGAAGAAAAAGTGGAAGAAAGACAACAACTATAACTATATCTGCGATCAGTTCAAATCGTTGCGGCAGGATTTGACTGTGCAGCACATTAGGAATGAGTTTACCGTCAGCGTCTATGAGATTCATGCCCGCATTGCCCTGGAGAAAGGAGATCTTGGTGAGTATAATCAGTGTCAGACTCAGCTGCGAGCGCTCTACGCACAGCAACTTGGGGGGCACCCTACGGAGTTCAAGGCGTATCGTATCCTGTATTTCATCCACACCCGCAACTGGACGGCCATGAACGATGCCCTGGCCGATCTAACCGCAGCAGACAAGCGGGACCCTGCTGTCAAACATGCCTTAGACGTCCGTTCGGCTCTCGCTCTGGGAAACTACCACCGTTTCTTTCAACTTTACCTGGATACCCCGAATATGGGAGCTTACCTCATGGACATGTTCGTGGACCGAGAGCGACTGTCTGCGCTCACAGCGATCTGTAAAGCGTAAGTAGAAGAGCATTCCCCCCTCCTTTTAGGCACATACCTCTCTCTGCCTTGCGTACGCTAACCTTCTGCTCCAGTTACAAACCCGACGTAAACATCCGTTTCATTACTGAAGAACTTGGTTTCGAGTCCGACGAGCAGAGCGCCCACTTCATCCTGGATCATACCTCGGAGGAATCGCTCCAGGAGAAGGATGGAGCTGTGAGGCTGCTTACTGGAGCGAAAGCCGTACAGCTTTTCGAGGCTGCCAAGGCTGACGCTCACCGGATTGTCGATATCAAGGGTCAGATATAAAGGTTGTGCATTTGTTTTCCATGACGGGCATGTCCGGCACGTCACTCACACCCTCTTTACACTTCCTTCTCACCCGATTCCCTATCTCCGGCCTTTTCCACTTCTGGGGTCGTTCCCCCCCTTCCCTTTCTTCCCGTTTTCACTTTTTTTTTTTTTTGCTATCCGTTCTCATTCGACCTTTCCCTTTCGGAGCGTGCCTGCGTCTATTTTACAGCTTCAGGAGATCTATACCCATATCGACCGCGAAAACGCATTGGTAGTGTGTGATTGAGCTTGACTCGGTAGTGTTGTTATCTTTGGGTCGGACCTGGAAGGATTGATGATATATCTAACCTTGGATTTGAATATTCCGCAGCCGTCATATGAATTCAATCAATAAAGAGCATCAGGTCCTATTCGTAGATGATAATATTGATTATGGAGTAAATGCATCTCTTTCCGTCCCACCCACAAGGGAGTTTGGTGGGCTGAAAGATTTCGCCCGTCAGGACCCCGAGAAAAGGTCTCGGCAGATTTAACAATGGTTTCATGCCGGTCACTGGATGTACGTATTGATGCATGATAGCCGAGCCGTCAACCCCAGATATTTCTTTTCGCTCTATTCCTTTTTCTTTGAACTTCCACGGTGAATCAATCATGTATACTCCAGATCAATTAATTGAGTACATACCAGTACTTCCGACCAAGGACCCGCAACTTGAGGTTCTCGAACGTTGTCCGGCCCACATAACCGGACAAAATTCCGGTTACAGAAATTAACGGGGACGTAATCTGAAGCATGACGAGTCAACTTCCATCCACTGTTCACCCGTCTGTACCTGAATGAATTGATTAGTATTGGTCGATAGCGTGCCCGCCTGTCATCATCCTGGTTGCATCCCGGTCTACTGTACGCATTGTCTGATCTTTTTTATTTTTATTTTTATTTGTTGTGGAGCATAGTATTAGTCAAGGGCCCAAATCACGATATTACATTTCCTGTACCTGCTACTACTAACCGCGGGCGTACTTGGTGATTTTCTATTACAGGGAATGACGTCTCGTGATGGAGGGGGAGGTGGGCTTTTAGTGTTGGGTTTATTCTTCTCTGGCCCTAGTTGAAATGAAATTCATAAGGTCGTCAATGGGGCTTTTTTAAGGTAGGGCTGAGGCGTGGATTTCATTTACATGACACAACCATTCTAAGTACAGTACATTCTTATCTAGATTCTCAAGTCAGGTCAGCACGAGGCGATCATTTAAATGACATCCACAATGGATCTATCAATTATTCCTTTTTCCCGGTACCTACATACAGACTGCTACTACTAGTATTTCCTCTGCATATTGTGGGACCATAGTATGGTATGTGTATGTACAGAGTGTACAGGGTATATTATTGTATATACAGTACTACTATCTAGTGGTCTATTTAGCATTGACAATTGGAGGGCAACTTGGGTGAATTTGGACTGGAGATTGGTCGTCTTCCGTCGCTTCTGATACACTGGCCCAAAGTCTATCTATCTATCATGATCATGATATCCTCGAATTGGGCAGTAATAATAAGATTCCACAAGGAACTTTGAGAAACCGTGGATCTTGATCCACGATCATACAGCTCATTTTCATGAGGGGAAAGCCCTAATCACCTGCAATCCCAAATAATCCTCCTGCAGCCAGTCGACCTGCAAGGGCGCTGATCTGCTGCATCAAGCTGGATCGACTCAAGTGTAAATGAACGACTCCGAGAAGCTTGAGAGAGAGTCGATCTACTACTTGTACTGTGCGCTGAGAAGGAGGTATTTTGCCTTTCTTTCACAATTTCCCTTTTTTTTTTTTTTTTTTTTAAGTTATCCTCTAACGTTGAGAAACTTTTAACTAGGACACGGGAGGATGTTTTAAGAAATGGATTTTCGACGGTGAGTTGGAGAATCTGAGGCTAAGTGAGCTTAAACCTTTTGACTATGGAAAATGAAAATCAGAAACATCCTAGTGTGATAGGTGACAATCTTATCGCATATTAATAGATCTTAACTCTTTCTAAGCATCTTTCTTTGACTGGCTGGTGAATGTCCATACCTTGGTAAGGTATGTATGTACTGTACCTAAGTTAGGAGTATACTACTATATCCATCCATATACATATATGGTATATAGAGAGCGAGAGGTATCAGTAGTTAGTAATGACAACCAATGAAGGCACAGACAGTGAAACACACAGACCACTGTGACGCCTTGTCTGGTTCGTCTCCAAGGAGGGGCATGGCAATTCCACCCCATCAGAAAACGTGGTACACAATGTCTCTTTCTTGGTTTTTCTTCCCCCCCCCCCTCCTCTTTTTTCTGTTCTTTTCTAATGCGTTCATCCCTTTAATAATCGTCGATTAAAAAGGAAGAAAACAAAAACAACAAAAATAGGAAAGAAAAGAAAAGAGGGGAAATCTCAACCACCATGGCAGTCAGTAACAAGAACCGCTGCCCAACCGCGTACAAACAGGGATTTTGCCGTCCAAAAACCTTTCTCTCTCTTAACAAACAAATAACACGCGCGCACACACCAAAATAACAAGAACTTCATGACGGCCCGCGGGTGAAACCAGCAGGGCTGGAGAGAAGCAGACTAAGGCATCTAGTGAGTTAGGTCAATGCGGACGACCGGGGAGACACTCCCGGTTTGGTCAAGGGAAAAGAGGACTTTAGTTGGGCATGCAAACAAAACAGCCTTTTTCGTAGGATTCTTGAGGGATTAAAATAATTTTTCTCTCCTCTCTTCTCTTCTCTTCGCGATCTTTGTTATTCTGAATTTTATTGATTGATTTTATCTTATTAATTATTATTTTGCTTCTTCTCCATTTTTAAGGTTCACGGTTGGTCTTCTGGAAGAAAAAAAGAAAAAGGGAAAGAGAGAAAAAGAAGGAAAAAAGAAGGAAAAAAAAAGGAAAAGCAGAAAAAGAAAAGAAAAAGAACAGTAAGATAGTGGACCATACCATACCGTGACGGTACCGAAGGTTTGATCCCACGCCTCCACCCAACAGACTTAAAAGTCTCTAGTCTAGTAAAAAAGTACTGGACAGTACCTGCGATACTTCCTTCCCGTACCACCAGTCAGGAAGGGGTGTTGCAGATGGGGTTTTAGGAAAGAAAAACGGAAATGAAAATTAAACTGATCGTCAGTTGGAGTACAGACCTCTTTTTTGGATTTGGATTTACTTGACTTTTTCTTTTTCGATTTTGCCATAGCTCTCTCTCTCCCTCCTATTCTTCCTCCTTACTTTTCCGCCTCCCATCGTTCCTGATACCAGCTACATACATACATATACAGCTTGCAGGGAAAAGTTATTCCCGTTCCTGCCTCAGCGAACCAGCGCAGGTTTTGGAAATACCAAAATTCCCAAGGCCAAGGTTCCGAACCCCACGGGTCCCATTTTCCTCCTTCTCCATCACAGCCACTCTTGCCCTGCCGTTTCACCTTTTTCTACAGAAACAATTAAATCAGACTAATAAGAAAAAGAAAAGTGGTTCCGGTCTGGGGCATTCGACGAACCAACCCAGCTGTCAAGTGTCCAGTCTTCATTCTATCTATCGAGTCAGTAGAGGCTACTACTACTACTACTACTACTACTACTTGCATCCCCCCTCCCCCAATTATCCCGACGAATATCGGGGGCGACACAGAGCGGACCCTGCCTTCTCCTCTGCCTTTTTTTGGAGTCAAGAACATCCGTGGATTACTGACCAGATCAGACAAAAACCCAGAGAAGAAGAAGAAGAATAAAGAAAAGGGAAAAAAGAAAAAGGTGGGAGAGGGGCGTCCATTAAAAAAAGAAAAGAAAAGGACCATACGACTTCCATACATACACATGTACATGCGCCTTCAACGGATCCTCTTCGCACTCTCGTCTTAGTATTCTTTCCTTTATTATCTACCTATCTATCCATCTGCATCTTCCTTTTTCTCACTTCCTCTTACTCTTGACTCGTCTCGTCTGGTCTCGTCTATGGTCCTTTGACATCCATCGCGGTGACTCGGAACTCTTTATTCATTCATTCCTTCCAGGCTCCATTCCTCTCGGCAATCGTCCACTCTTTTCTTTTCTTTGTGCCATCTGTCCTTCCTTTAGTGGCGCAGATTGGGTTTTGATATTGTTCTTGCGATCTTTTCAACCTTGCTATTTTTGAAGTACTACTCTATTCAGTTCGAGGACCTGCTTTTGTCTTTATCTTTGTAACAATTTTATTTTATTCCAATTTTTTGTTATATCCAGTTTTGGGTGGAGGAGAAAGGCAGGCAGAGAGAGAGAGTCCCAAGTCCTGTTCGGAAATACTAGATGGTCCGTTGAGAATGAAGGTATGTTTTTTATTCTTATTCTTTCGCATTGACTGGAGTTGCAGTTTAGTTTCGCATTTTCCCCCTTGGTTTCAAACCATTCTCTCTTTTTCCCCCCCCGCCCCCCTCTCTCCTTCGACTTCAACTAAACAACTTCTTTTAGGCCATTCGACGCTCTCTCAAAGGGGAAAAAGACCCCAAACCCCACCACCATCATTTGTCCATTACCCCCAAATCGGCCATTGCCATTCTGCCTCCGAAAAAGGTATCTATACATTTTTTTCTTTTTATTTTTCCCTCTTTTGCTCGCTTTTTACTTTTCACATTCCCTCCCCGCCCTTTACCCTCGCTTCTTCACCCCTTCCAGTCCCTCTTTTTTCTTTTCTTTTTCCTTTTCCTTTTTTCTTTCTCTTCTTCTTCTCCTTCCCTTCGGCAGTAACTCTCTCCAAGTCGGATCCCGTTCCCCACCCACCTCCTTGGCACAAACAAAGGCGACTAATTGATCATCTTTCCACTCCCCCTGCAGGTCATCAAAGCTCTTTACGACTACCAACCAGATCCCGGGAACACGCAGGAATTGGCCTTCAGCAAGGGAGACTTTTTTCACGTTATCAGCAGGGAGGACGACTTGGATTGGTACGAAGCCTGCAATCCCCTCATCCCTACTGCGAGGGGGCTGGTACCCGTGTCGTTCTTCGAGGTCATTGGCAAGAACGAAAGAGACAGCGCCGGCTCCGCCGAACTTCATAAGAAGAAGGAATCCCACGACTCCGGTTTCTCCGATCGTGCCCCTGCCGCTTTCCCCGATTTCTCCAACGGTTCGCCCAAACACAACCCGCCTCCCGTCGCCTTTCCCAGAATGTCGACCTTGGGCAAGGGCTCAAGTCCCATGGTCTACGGCGTCGTCCAGTATGACTTCCAGGCCGAGCGCCCGGACGAATTAGATGCCAAAGCCGGCGAGGCCATCATCGTCATCGCCCAGTCTAACCCGGAATGGTTTGTCGCGAAGCCCATTGGTCGCCTGGGCGGTCCCGGTCTCATCCCCGTTTCCTTCATCGAGCTGAAAGACATGCAGTCGGGTCAAACCGTGACCGATCCCCTGGAGGCCGTGCGACGCGCCGGGGTACCCAAGGTGGAGGAATGGAAGAAGATGACCGCTGAGTACAAGAACAGCAGCATCACCCTGGGCAAGATCGACTCGACGGCTGCAGCAGCGGCAGCATCGTCGAATAATGTGCAATCCGTGACTTCCAGCATGGACAAGATGTCTATGAGTCACCAGAGCGTGGCTCATTTGAGCCAGAACGGCAATTCCTATGTGAGTTGGACCTTCTCGCCTCCTCCATGAGAGGGAACATAGCCAGACTAATTCGGACCGGGGATTTTCTTTTATTAGGGCTACCACCATCGCAATGCCAGCAAGGGTTCTCTCGCACAACACATGTCGCACCAGTCGATGCATAGTTATCATCAGCCCTTGGTGGCCCCCGTCGCGGCGTCGATTCCTCGCTACTGCTTCGATAACGATAAATACTGGTACATCATCGAGGCCAAGATGGAAGACGGTCGCTGCTGGGAACTCTCTCGATACTACCATGACTTTTATGACTTTCAAATCGCCCTCCTCACCCAGTTTGAAGAAGAGGCGGGGAACCGCGGCAAGCCACGAACCTTACCTTTCATGCCTGGCCCGGTCACGCACGTTACCGATGCCATCTCCAACGGTCGCCGCCAGAACCTGGACGAGTACATCAAAAAACTTCTGGCTATGCCACCCCACATCTCCCGCTGCCAGCTTGTCCGAGACCTGTTCGCACCTCGCCCGGGCGATTTCGAGATTGACCCGAGCGCGTTCGGCGAGGATGTGCGGTTCTCCGGGGGATCGCACCATTCCTCTGGACATGAAATCCCGCGCAGCGCATCTCGCCAGTCCTCGCAGGCCCAGATGAATCCCCCTCATGACCGCAGCTCGCATCAGCGCGCCCAACCGTCAGTCTCGCACAGCAACGGTGTGCCTCCGCCCATGAACCGGCAGCCCAGCTCTCTGACACAGGTCTCGACCACCTCCAGCAGTGGCGCTTTGAAAATCAAGGTGTCCTTCCAAGGCGATCTCATCGCGATTCGCGTCCCGAGCGACATCAGTTTCCAGCAATTGCGGGAGAAGCTGATGGATCGCCTGAAGATCAACGGCAAAATTGCGGTGCAATACAAGGATGAGCCGTCAGGCACGTGCGTCGACCTGGTCGGCGACAGTGATCTCGACACGGCTATCCAACGCAATTCCAAACTTACGCTCCTCGTGGAGCTCGTATGAAGGAGTTCCTTCTCCGCATCTACATAGAATCATGATTCCCATGGGCATATTGCGATAGATTTCTTGTCTTTTTGTTGATCGTCTTCCCTGACATTTCTCTTTTGTTTCTTTTTTCTTCCTTTCGATCTCCCCCAGCTCTCCTGGGCGGACACGGTGCAACGGTGTTAAGGTTTCCTTTATCTTATGAGCCATCAATCGATTCTTCGGGAGGCTGATGGATAATAAGAATGTGATGTCCGACATGTTTATGCCATTATGTATCTCTTTTGACCTTGTGTGTTTATATGCGTTTATGTGTGTCCTGCATTGTTTTCCTTGGGCCATGGTTGATTGTGATTTCCCCATACCCTTTTGATGCGCGGTCCGATCCCCATGTACATAACGTCCTTTGCATATATGCATCTTGTAGGCTTCATTACCTACTATTTATTCTTTCGATGCCGTGCCACTTTCAGTTTGTAGTTTTCTGTGTCATGGGTTCGCTGCAGTGTCTCCCTTGTGTTGAGCAGCCAATTAATCCTCATAACCGCACGCAGATATTGATGGTCCGATGCGGTTACCGGAATCATAGAGGGTCTACGAATCGGACACTTGGTTTCATCGAACCTGGATCTGCCTGGCCCAACAGAAGAAGGACGGGGCAAGTTCGGTATCACTTGTGCACTAATGGCAATCAACGAATCGTTAGGGGACCCTCGCGAGCAGGTAATCTGTGCTTTATTCTCATTGTTCCATCTCCAAATCTTTCGGCCTTTGAATTCTCCTGGTCTGATCTCTCGGAGACCCTGTCATGCCCACTGTCTGCCACGTTACCCCGGGGCGTCCTTGTGCGAATTACTGGTCAAGCATATTTGGGAGGGCTGAGACGCAAGAATAGTACATATGGGCTAGAAAAAAGCAAAGGAAAAAGAAAGTGAGAAGACTATATGACATGGGTAGTAGATCTAGTTGGATGAAAGGTATATTTATGAATTAACATCTTGCTTTTAGAGCTACATTAGAAATATGTATATATATCGGCAGTGCTCAGATTGTATATCTAACTCCTTTCCGATTGCTATGCCAACATAGATGTGAGCGGAGAGACGAGCATCGTCGAGAGAACACTGTATCATACTCATTCGACTTTTACCTCCCACTGCGTCCGCCGGATAATCGCATGCTGACTTCCGTCACTATCGATACTCCGCATCTCAGCATCGTCCATGGTACTATTCCGTTGCGACTTTCCTTGATGATCCGCACCCTCAGTCAAGCCTCCCGAGACGGTGGTGACGGTCTGACCCTGGCCCTTGGTGAGAAATCGGGACTTCGTACCGGACATGTCCTCCCTTCCCACTCGAGAACCTTGCTCTATCGACTGGAGCGCGTAGCTTCCTCCCGAACGAGAACGGCTGTAGTACGTTCCCCCCGGCTCGCAGTCCAGATGCGTGGTGGCACCCATGTTCATGTCAAATACCTGGAGGAACTTGCGGAGGCAAGGGAACGTGGCAGACATCAGGGAGAAGTGCATAGCGACTTCAGTCACCAGGACAGTGTCAGTAATGGTGAACGTCGGATCGGCGGCGTCGTCTCCTGTTGTGCTTTGCTGGAGGAGCACAAGGCGTACAACAATGGGCACCGTTGCTCTTTTCATCAGGAGAGTGAAAAAAAAAATTTGTTAGATATGAGTTCGAGACCGACAAGAATGGCAACATAGACGTACAGAAGCTGGAGGGAAAAGGCCATGACTACGGTGATCTTGGTCGTCGAGGCCACACGTAGATCCCACACCATCAAGATCACAATACAGGGTAGGAGAAGTTCGATGAAGATGTTTCCCGCTTCAACAGCGGTCCATTGAACAAACTAAGGAATGGACACGGTCAGACACGGGGCAGGTTGAACGTAAGCTATCCATACCATGCTTCTGCAATGATCCATCGCCCCAATGTCCCATGGCATGGGGAGTTTGCATTGAAATGCAATCAGGAATAGCGAGATCACTCCCCAGAGAACAATGAACCCGGTCAAAAGATGACTCGCTTTGAGATGTAGCTTCGTTCTCGTAAGACGCGCTATTAGAAGGGATATGGAGATCTTCGAGGAACAGACGACAACGGGGTACAGGAGCCAGGCGATGTAGATGCTCTAGGGCATCAACGAAGTCAGCTATCCAAGTCAAATCCCCGGGCCTTTTTACAGTTTTGCTAACCTTCAGTCCAGATTCCACCCGATCATCGGTGAGTAAAGCCTCTTTCTTGCCGATGCCACTTCGCACCGCGTCAAGGGTCACCGCGGTTTGCACGGTTCCAATAATCTAGACTCTGTCAGCTTCCTGAGGGTGATTGGATCCCCGCATGCTTGGATATCTACCGTCCCGAACACAGCAAATGCATCGTCGAAGCCAAAGGGGGGATTCAGTTTCCACCGGAGATACACCCGGATGCCAATGATGAAGATGGACCAGCTCAGACCAACCAGAGCGGCAATGATGATGAAGGCGCTATGGTCATCTGGTGTCACCTGGACATAGGAGTCTCCATCGGCGTTACTGGAAGACATCAGGAATGCACATTCCCGTCGTCTGATTTAATCAGCAAGAGAAATGAATGCGACGACGAAGATTCCCAGAGGGATTTCAGAGAGCCGGATGAAAGCATTATTTACTTCTGAGAAGAGTCCTCCCAAAGGGGAGGAGTCCAACAGATTGTCCCATATGGGAAGTCAGCGAACTATCTGGCTAGTTGGCGCGCCATCCTTGGGGTCGAAGTTTGGTCAGGACCCTTTTTCAATGTAACTCTTTCTTCATTTCTGTTTGCTGAAGGAATCAGATCCCTGCAGCTCGAGCCCCATCGGCATCCATCAATCCCCTTAAAACACTACTACTGTTCCTATCGATATGGGTGGTGTGGACATTAGAATCCGTCATCAGATTTAACAGGGTATCTCTCTACTTCTTAATATGTACTCTCTCTCTCTCTTTTTTTAATACTTCTAATTATTCTTTCTGGTATTTCTTATTCCTTTCACTATGATAGTTATGTAGCGTCTCAGTTATATCGGGCCTTGATTTGTTCCACCCAGCACGAGAGAATCCCATAATGGATTCAGCCCCCATGCGAGAAAAAGCCTCATTAAAATTTGACGATACTTGACAAATTTGTCACTAGGATCTTGGCTCGGAAGATTTCGCACGGCAGAGTCCCTGTCGTGGCGGGGCGATCATATATTCATTAGTAGTTAAATGCAACGTTAAGCGTTTAGTGAAGACCCCATGCCCTAACACCCACGTCTAGACTGACCGTTTTGGCCCACCGTGACCCCCTTTCTATATACATGTGGCTTTCTTGTCCTACTTTAGTGCCATCATAGTTCCAAGCCGGACTTGAAGCATAAAAAGCCGAATAGGAGGGAAAAAAAAAGGGAAAGGAAAGCAAGAAGAGGAGAGAGGGAGAAGAAATAACACAATCCTCTCTCCTTCTCCCTTCATCCCACACCCACACTCTCTACCAACCCCTCATCTTTCTCTTTTTTCCTTACATGTGTTTAAAGAACACCTTTTTGCCGATATGCTATCCAGTGGACAACTGGAATTGAAGGAGGTCGGATCGGCCCGTTCTCCACATGTGCTGGAGGAAGTCGACCGGAATGGTTCTCTGGACCCCGAGTTGTCCGATGTAGTCAAGACAGGCTTCACCGTGAACGATCAGCGAGATATGCAGCGCATGGGCAAGAAGCAGGAGTTACGAGTATGTTTGCCCCGGATATTTATAGATCTTTGCGGATGCGGACAGAGCTGACGGATAGTAGAGGAACTTCCGCATGGCTAGTACCATTGGTTTCACGACTTGTGTCATGGGTACATGGGAGATTTTGTTGACGTATACTCCTCAAATTCTTACTTCGGTTGTTGAATGTTTGGCATCCGGGACTAATGGTAAACCAGTTCCAACACTCCTGGCCTGACAGCCGGTGGACGACCGGCTTTGTTCTGGTCCTTGGTATGGGCGTATTGTGGGCAGTTTTTCATCGTTCTCTCCATGGCGGAGATGTCATCTATGTAAGCTTCTCTTTTGATTACAAGATGATAAACAAAGGTGTCTAACAGTGTCTAGGGCACCTACTGCCGGCGGACAATACCATGTAAGTCACTTCTCGCTAAAATCATTCGTTCGACTCGGTTGACATGCTTGAGCTAGTGGGTCTCTGAATTTGCTCCCCGGGCATATCAAAGATTCTTGAGTTATGCCTCTGGTGAGACACATTCTGCAACCAACCCTTCACCTACGTTTCTATACTAAGGTGTGATGATATAATAGGATGGCTCTCAACAATCTCGTGGCAGAGTATCGTCGCCCTTGACGCGTATCTGGCGGGAACGATTGTGCAAGGTCTCATCTCGCTGAATGATGAGAGTTACTCGCCTGCGCGCTGGCAGGGCACGTTGCTCGTTGTGGCTGCAGCCATCGGCATGTCATTGTTCAATGTCTTCGGTGCGAAGCATCTACCGTTGGCCGAAGGGATCTTCGTCACTTGTCATTTCTTTGCCTTCATTCCCGTCATCATCACGCTGCTCGTGCTGGCCCCCAAGGCCAAGGCAGAAGATGTCTTCACCGGGTTTACCGATTATGGATCTGGATGGCCATCTCTATCATGGACGGTCATGGTTGGCCAGGTGTCTTGCATGTTTGTCGTTTTAGGTGAGATCTCGGACTCTGAAGGGTTTGCAGCAAGCCAATACTGACCGTTTCCCTCTTTAGGCTCTGACTCCGTCGCACATATGTGTAAGTACTCTGACCAACACCGCATCACCGAGGCTTCTCTCGCTGACTCACCATACAGCGGAAGAGATTGAAAACGCCAGTGTTATTGTTCCCAAGTCGATGATATGGGCGTTCCTCCTGAACATCCCCTTCGCGTTCGGTCTGCTTCTGACTTACTTGTTCTGCATGCCCGATGTGCAAAGTGCTCTCGACTCTCCCACCGGCTTCCCTTTTATCTACGTGTTCCGTCAAGCCGTCAACAATACTGCCGGGGCGACTATACTGGTGGTGATTGTGCTCGTGTTGATCATCATGATCACCATCAGCTCTCTGGCATCGGCCTCGCGTCAAACGTTTGCCTTTGCGCGCGATAACGGCCTGCCTTTTTCGACCTGGCTAGGAGAGGTAAGTGCTTTGAGTATTGGAACTTTTTGCTTCTTGCGACTCATATGTGGCATTTCTCCAGGTCAATCCAAGACTACATATCCCGGTCAACTCCATCATTTTCACCTGCCTCTTCTCTATCGTCATGTCACTGATCAATATTGGCTCCACCGTCGCATTCAACGCCATGCTCTCCCTATCGACCACGGCACTGATGGCCACATACCTCATCTCGATCGGCTGTATCATTGCCCGCCGCGTGACCAATGACCCGCCACTTCCATCGTCCCGGTGGACGCTGGGGCGCTTCGGCATGCCGGTCAATATCCTGGCGATGGTGTACGCGAGCTGGTCGTTCTTCTGGAGTTTCTGGCCGAATGCGTACGAAGTCAATGCCGAGAACTTCAACTGGGCGTCGGTGCTATTCGTGGGGCTGATGGGGATTTCGACCATCATCTACTGGGTGCACGCGAGGAAACATTATGAAGGACCCGTGGTGAAGGTCGAGGGCAGGAAGTTCCAGTAGTTCTGTTCACGTGTACGCATCTCGACAGAGGCGTGTGTGTGTATGGAGAGATTGATGTGGATGCCATACCTCCCAATCCAAGGGGCATGTATACTGCCCTTTCCCTTTGTGCCTTTCATTTTTAGGCTTTTCTTCTCTTATGAATTTCTATTCTAATTTGGATCAAGTTGGTTCCAGTATTGTAAACATCTTATCATCTTGTCCACTGTATGTACCCTTTCTCAGGGACCCAGAATGTGACAGTCAAAATCAGTCGCTTGCAGCTCTAGGCTTTCAGTTGACTGGCGTCTGATGCTTTGTCTATGTAGAGATGACCGTGCTGTGATTGTTGTGTAAAAAAAGGTCCGTTTCTCCAGCGACCCCCAACTGATGATGATCCCGTCAAACTCCTTCATGAACATAGCCAGTAAGATACTTCAAAAGGCAAGGTCTTGTGGCCAGAAAAGAAGCTATGAGATCTCTGCGGGTACAAGACTCCTCTCGCTATGTATCAAGCTGTCTTATGTGATACTATGCCCCAAGTTACAACAGCAGAGCGAACACCATAGCTAGCAAATCGAACTCCATCTTGCTAAGACACTACAAGAAAGGCAACTAAGGTATGACAAGGAGATGAGTTTTTCATCCGACACAATGTTCCAAGGCTCTGTAAGTGTATACCTTGTCATACAGCCAAGCCTTTCTCAACACATTTCCAGCAATGAACACATGAAGATGAAGTGATCACCGGCATACTCTGCCTGAAGTCTTGTTGAACGGTGTTACAACATATTTGTCGTCAGACGTTGATGTAACCCTTCTTCTTTTTGGCTGCGCTCTGATCTCCTCCCACCGGACCTCGAGTGTCACAGTGATTCAAAATCGATGGCCAGCATCCTGTCTTCATTGCGTTACTGTATCTTGCGTTCTTGTCTTATCATCGATGTAATCAATCCACCAAGAGCTATTTAGCACGCGCGCGGAGGTTGTAGAATGTAGAACACAACAACTATCCCCGTGTGCGAAGGGCCTCCAGTGAGACAGTGCTGAGCAAGACTGAGCGGGCCAAAGACGTCGAAGAAGAGCATAATGGGCCCTGTGCAAGATCAAGAGAAGGCCATCGAGGTCCGTTGGCAGATAGACCCTAATATCGCCAGGGTTTGGTAGTAGCATACAAACGTCTACTGCGATTCCCGTCAGTGCTATCTGTTGCTCAGCATTGCTGCGGATGGCCTGTAAATGCTTGTTGTCGACAACCGGCAGCAAGTGAAAACTGTAGAGAGCAACTGGAGTGATGCTGTCAATTCGGACACGCATTTAATCTGATATCTCTAGATCTAGCACCAATACACGTGTCCAATTGCGGCGCATCTACTGCCAAAAGGTCAACTTCTTCAGCTCCTCCAGCTGGATCGAGCGGATCTGTGTCCGTGGGAACCGTTCATCCACTGCTGGCCCATCCGCCAAATCCAGGTAATGCAAGGTCGACATGCCCACGTCTTCCACAAAGGCCAGCACCCGATGGAAATTCAAACCCACCTGCTCCAGTCCATGGCTATCATCGGACAGACAGAAACGGCCCCCTCGTGCCAAGAATTCCTGCATAAGTTAGTCTCTTTTTCCTCATCACTTTGGCGTTTCGAGAATAAGAATGGACGTACCTTGCAAATCTCCGCTTTAGGATACGGCTCACTCATGCCCTTACGCAGCGCAGCCGAGTTCAACTCCAACAGACCGCCGTACGTGGCGACAAAGTCCAGGTTCCGGAGAATGCGCTCCCAGACGGCGGGCCACTGGGTGAAGCTCCGTTCGGGATCATCGCTCTTCAGGCGGATCAGGTCAAAATGCCCCACCACGAGCGGCTTCAACTGTCGCAGCATGTCGAACTGCTCGTCGAAGTACACCTGGAAGAGCTGCTCGTCCGTGCCACCGGCCAGGTCGCGCGCCTGGACGTACATGTCGCGGTCGTAGTCGATGGGGATCGTTAGCGTGTGGTGGACCGACCCCATGAAGAATTCGAAGGGGTGACGCGCCAGGGAAGCCTCAATGAGGGTGCGGGAGGCCGGACGGATCCAGTCGATCTCAAATCCGATCAGGATAGTGATCTGGTCGGCATATTTTTCCCGCAGCCGCTGCGCTTCCTGGAAGTACGCAGCCTCGTTGGCCACCAGGCTGGTCTCGGTGTGCCCCGCTTCGATCTGCAGATGTCGCTTAGCTGAGAGAATAGGACTGGAGTCTCTTCTCGAGGAGATACCTCTTCCGGATAGAAATCCTCTTTGCCCCGCGGCATATGCTCGGTCAGGCAAAAGACCCGGAATTTCTTTGCAATGGCGAGTTGGATGACCTCCTCCAGGGAGTCCTTGGCGTGGCCCGGGCAAAATTGCCCGGAATGACTGTGATGTGAGAAGGGCATGGTTGGGTGTTGTGTGTATTCGAGGCCTTGGGATGTTGGATGGAAGTAAGAAACCACTACCCCGCAATGACTCAGTGGCGGGGTGTTGCTGGGTCAGACTTGCTGGTCAACTCCAACCAGGAAGATTGTTGCGATCCGATCTGATATACAAATTATTGAAGAGTGTCGAAAAAGAAAAGGAGAAAGAATAGCATTCAGGAGAAGAGGAAGAACGACACAAAAAAGGTCAGGGAAGAGAATAAAATGTGCGGACAAATCAGCATCCAGGACTGGTCGGTCCCACTAGTATTTTAAGTAGAGTATCTATTGAATCCATTTATCCATTGAACCCTTGCTTTTCCCTATTGAACTGCTGGTTTCTTCTACCGTCAGGTGGTAGGAATATCGTGATATGGCTCAATCAACGTACGCGTATGCATATCTGGCAACGTCGTAGTGACTCCCCCTTAGGGGTGTCCTGTGGAGAGGCGCGAATGAGGATGAACTTCCACTCCACCTTTCTCAACACAGTAATGGAATTACCAGCGCGGTAAACGTGTTGGCGAGCCAGATGTATACATCCGTATGAGGGCAAGAACCCTCTCATTCTCTTCATGAGTGAAAGCCCGTGAATCCCGCAAATCCAAACTCCACCGGTATCCGACTCAGCCAGCCGCAAGAACCATCGCGACAACGTACTCCCCATCATGCGAGATGGACAGCTTCCCGATCCTGGCCGTCTCCCCGTCCAAATAGACAATCTCTGGCCGTCCACGGTCCGTGTCGCCCACCCGTACCATCACATCTTTCCACCCCAGACTCGACGCCCCATTCGGCGCGGCCTTGCGCGCGGCTTCCTTGGCAGCGAAGCGACCGGCGAGCCAGCGGGCCATCTCGGAGGTAATCTGAAATGGAGGTCGATCTGGGGGGTTTCGCTGGTCAACCGCGCGGAAAGACGGTGGTGGGAGGGCAAACCGGGTGCGAAAGTCGTGTTGTTCAGGCTCAGTGAGAATGCGCCGTGTGAAGCGGGCCAGGTAGTCTCCGCGATGGACGAGGCGCGTGATTCGCGGGAGATGAACGATATCCGTCCCGATATTCAGGGCAAGAGGGAAGGGAAGTGGCTTCATGGCGAATTATGACGAGTCCGGGGAGGTTTGCGCATCCTCCACCCGCAGGAGAACGGGATGAACGAGGTCAGGTGACTCCGCCTGCTCATTGGGAGCCCCGGTTTCGAGAACTATGACGGATGGAAGGCGCTTTTAGGTATCGTTCTTTACGGCAGCCAAGGTGTGTTGGAGATCTAGCTCGTCTACACTACTAGTACACAATGGACCCGGGAGGAGCCCGAATCGCCCTACGGAGCTAACCAACGAGGCACACAATACCCGAATCTTCGACCCTCATTGATTACCAGCATCGAAGAACAGAGCTTCATGCGGTGTATATATCTATATGTACAGATCACACATCTCGCTACTGGCACGAGCCGTCCAGCAGTCCGATACACCACCCGAGGCCCCGTCCCGATCCTCTCTTCCCGGTTTCTGATCACATAGTCGATACTCGTTGGATAATACATGGTCACAATTCGGGTGCTGGTAGTCTCGGGAGGGTCCTCGCTTCATTAGACCTCATTATTTCGAGACATTAATGGCTGCTCTTCTTCTCCTCCCCACTTCCATTCACTTGCTTCAGGAAGTCCCTGTGGTAGACAAAATAATTAGCCAGATCTCTAAGCTCGAGGGGAAGGCACTTCTGGATGGTAAGGTTGAGTGGTTTGGTGCTTGTTCTTCATCCTATCTGCCCTCACCCTGTACAAAGCCCAAGGCTTGTCTGCCGGATACCATTGTAGCCGGGGGGTTCGAGGAAAAGACCGGAAGCCGCAGAAGATGAGGACCAGGGGTGGGGAAGGCGGAGAGAGGAAGAGAGAACAGAACATACTGGATGAAAGTCTCCTCGTCTTTGGAAGAGGCCTGGATCGGAGGCGCGGCCTGCTTGGGCTTGGAGCCACCGCGGGTTGCGAGGTAGACACCGCCGAAGAGAGAGCCGAGAACACCCATGGCGAGCTAGTAGAGCAGTAGTGTCAGTGGAATTAACCTCCTCGTCGAAGTCGTCGGCGGCTCCGGTACGCGGCGAACAGAATTTGGACCAGGGGGATTAGCCGACGACGGGGGAAACGGGCACGTACCACATGGGAGCCGACTTGCTTGCCGGCGATCTGGTAGTAGACAACCATTATGATAAGGTGAAAGGAGAAGGAGAGATTGATTGATCGAGGGAATGGGGGAGTGATGCGAACTGAAAGCAATAGGGAAGTTTAGTTCACTCTCTCGGATGGCAGGAAGTTGAGCTGGAAGTTAGTGGTCTTGCCCTTATCGGGTTTAGCCCGGGCGGTGCGGGCAGTGGCTGAGTCAGCTTTTTTTTTGGAGGTGGGCATAACTCTTTATGATCATCATAGTTAAGTTAACTAACATCTTGCGTGTTAGTCATCATGCATTGCTTGCATTGCTGAGGTCGGGGATCACAGCGCCTCACATGATCCGTGTCCCCGTGTTCTCCGGAAGGCTCCGAGAATGACGTCGGAAGGGATCGGATGATGGAAGAACTATTATTTGTACACACTGTACTGTATAGAAAAACAACACTGGAATTCAACCTAATACAGAAGAGAGGAGACCATTGAAGAAAAGAAGAAGGAGGAAATTAAAGAAGAAGAGGAATAACAAGAATGAAAGACACGCACGTTTGATAATTCCAGGAGAGGTGATTGCCATACTGAGAGTACTCCATACATCCATACCTCGGGGCAGGGAAGGCTCATGAGCTGGTCGGCATTCTTGAGCGGGACTGACTTGCATAATAAATCTCATTCTCACTTTTCCCTCCCTTCGATCTGATCTTTCGGTCTTCACTTTTTTTCTTCTGTTTTTCCGTTAGCCTTCTCCTTTCGCTCTCCTTTCCAGAACAATTATCCGTAAGTGTTTCCCTTCCCCCATTCGCTGTTGTCTTTTCGCTAATTCATTATTGATGGACAATAGCCTCATTCTCATTATACACATCATCATGGTCTGGGGATCCAATCCGAAGCGCGACGACTCACCTGAAGAGCCCATCCCACGGGAGAAACTGCCTCCGCAGCTCCAGAAGTTGGTGGATCATGATGATGGGTTCTACGATGATATCTACTCGTCCTAGTATGTTCCCGAGGAACTTCGTCTCCCCTCCCCCACAATTGTTGTTATTTTGTTTCCCCGCAAATAAAAAACAGAAGGCAGGGAATTCTCTTTAGGCGTCACATTCCCGAATTTAATTGACCAAGATCATTTTATAAAAATAAAAAAGCTCGGTAGATTCAACCGACACTCCATACCGATACGCGGGATATGCCAATCGACTGCGCACCATCCTACTCTCCGCCCATCGTTATGTCGCCTATACCTCCGACATAGGTGAATCCTTCCGTCCCGTTGCACATCCGTATCTCGTCCGCTCCGCGTACGCCGTCTCCTGGACCTACTTGATCGGGGATGTTTTCCACGAGGGCTACAAGGCATACCTGCGCAATCGTCGCGTACTCGCCCCGCCCTGCGAGGCCTACAAGGACGCCAAGAATCTCTCCCAGGACCAAGTCGTCAAGGGCATGGCCACCGGGAATATTGGCGGCTCGTTACAGTCGTCCACGGGGGAATCGGACACCTTGGAGCCCTGGCCCACAACCCGCATCCCGCTCATCGAGGATTACCGCATGGTGATGGCCAAGCGCGCCGTGTTCCAGAGCGTGGCCAGTATGGGGCTGCCCGCATTGACCATCCATTCGGTGGTGAAATATTCCGGGAGAGCCTTGAAGGACTCCAAGAGTGTGTGGTTCCGCACCTGGGCGCCCATCGGAGTGAGTGCCTCCCCCCTCCCTGTCGTCCCTCCTCCACGGAACATCAAACTAACCGGTGCCCCAGCTCGGTCTCTCCGTCGTTCCCTTCCTCCCTTACATCTTTGACGAACCCGTTGACGAGGCGGTCGAATGGTCCTTCCGCACCGCAGTCCGTGCCTTTGCCGGTGAAGACGCCGTCCGCCCACTTCCCAATGGCCACACCACCGCTGAGGACGTCCCGCGGGAGAAGAAGGGGGACGTCACGATGGGCGCCGATAGTATCCACTCCTGGGAAGAATACCGGGAGGACCGACGGCGGGCGAAGGAGCAGCGAAAGAAAGAGCTCGAGCAACGAGGACAGAAGGGACCGTGGGCCTTGCTAGGGTTCGGAGGAAACGAGGAGTCGAAGAAAAAGACGGAGTAATGTGGTCGTCACCCTGTCCTTTCCTTACTTTTTGCTGCTACTTTGTTGCTTTCTATTTGACATGTATATACATACCTTTAGCGTCGTCGCGGACTCTTCCGTACGGGCTTGCTTTGAATTGGTCTGCGAGTCAGCCAGAGATCCTTTTCTGCACACCTCGGTGACATGCTCTCGTACATTTTTTCCTATCACGCCAGATGAACTGCTTGGTCAAGGTCCAGTCCTCCCGTACTCGAGCTTGACCGGGATTGCTTCACCCTACGTGCAGTGACGGAAACATGATGAAAAATCATTCAATCCACGCCAACGCATGGCTCATTTCGCTTTCTACTGGCACTATACATCTGTACATACGGACAACCAAAATAAACAATAAAAAGGAGAGAGAAAGAGAGAAGAAAGGAAAACGGGGCAGTGTAGGATAGTACGACATCACTCGTCAGATACCTTTTACCACCCAACCATTAACGGGAGGAAGAGGAGGTCCCAGGAAGAACACAGTGAACAGATGAAGAGAGACAGAGAAAAAAAAAAAAAAAAAAAAAAAAAAATAAGAGTCTTTACTGTAATAATGATTGGTGTGGCTTGAGGTCTTTCGCTCCGTGTCACCATAAAGGAGAGTAAGAAAAAAAAAAAAAAGAAAAAAGCCAAACATATGGGGAATAAAGAAGAAAAGATATGTATAACATAGAAAGACAAATGATATCCAAACTTGAAATACAGTTAAGAAGAGGAATGTGCAATACCTTCACCAAGGGTCAAAGGGATAAACACGTCAGTTCTCGCCTGATGACCTCCCAGGGCGTACTTTCTTCCTTTTTGCTGGTGGTTTGTTTCCCTTCTTTTCCCCCTCGGCCTCAAAAACCGGACCCTATCGTGTAAGGTACCAATTCCTAATTCCATCCCAGGGAGTTCTCCGCCATAACCGGGGCGCTGATCATCTGAGTACGGCCAGTGCCCCGGCTGTTGTGGCTACCACGGGACATCCGGCCTCCCGATCCGAATAGAGATCCAGCGCCGCGACCCTCACTCGTCTGTACCACGTTCGAGCTGGAACGTTGGTGCAATTGACGCTTCTTGCGGTAACGACGAGCGACCCAGAACATTCCAGCACCGTAGGCAGCGGCTCCCGCCACAACACCCACGCCAATGCCCACGGAGCTAGCGCGAGCGGACCCGCTGCTGCTGGCGCCCGCGTCGGAGTTGGGATCAGTCTCGTTAGCTCCATCACCGCTGCCGGGGTTCCCTTTGGACCCATTCGGGTTGGAATATCCACCGCTACCCGAGGACGATCCAGATTCACCTACAACAAGAGGGATCGAGGGGTCAATCATCGACATCAATGCCTTGGCGGAACTGTCAGTCTGCTGGTAGAGCTGCGAATTGGGATTGTTCAGCATCTTCCGCAGCGAGTCCACCTGGGCAGTGGGAATGTAGGCCATGGCCACGGTCGCGATGTAGCCAGTGCTCTGGGAGTTGTCGTAAGGCTGGATGGCCAACATGGACACCTGCTTTCGAAGGATCTTCAGGGCATTCTCGAGGGCGATCGGAATGTAGAGGAAGATCTGCGAGGATGAGAGAGGCGTTGTCGCCACGAAACTATAGCGAAGCTTGCCATTGAATCCCAACTGAATCAAGGTCGAGTCGGCCGGAGGTTCCACGGGGACATTCGCAGGCGAAATGGACCCAGGGAGCTGGCTCGGGGTGGACGACGTCGTCGCGGTGGGGTGGGTGGCCGTGTTTTGGGTCGTCGGACTCGGAGGCTCCACCAGAATAGTGGACGGGACCCAGTCATTTGACTCGCTCGTTGTGGTTGGCTCGGGAGTCGGGGTAATCTTGGTCGTCTCGGTCGACTTCTCCGTGGTGCTAGGCTGTTCCGTGCTGGTCGGAGTCGAAGTGGTCGATGCAATCGGCGTGGGCGTGTTCGTCGAGCTCGGGATGTTTTGGCTCGTGGGCACGTCTGTTGGCGTCGAGGAACTGATGAGTCGAGTGGACGACGAGCCACTAGAGCCAGTTAAACCGGTGGGAACAACGACACCACTGGTGGACATGGGAACGCCGGGACTAGTCAGCGGCGCGGACGGCCCGCGGGTGAAGGTTTGAGATCCGGTGGAACCTCCGGGGATGACAGGCGTAGAAGTGGAGAAGCCACTCGAGCTAGAGGCTCCTGGGATCACGCTGCTCGTGGGGATGCTACTGGGTTCAGGAGTGACTCCCACCGAGGTACCAGCGGATGGTGTGGGGGTGGCAGGCGGGATACTGATGGAGATGGTCGGTAAAAGACCGAAAGAGCTCGTGGGTTCCGAGGGATTTCCACTGCCGGAGGTAGCGGATCCCGGAGTACTCGACCCAGTCTGCGCCGTTGAAGTCTCAGAAGCATTAACGGTGCCAGTAGGGAGGAGTCCTGACAGCAGCCCACTACCCAACAGTCCAGAAGACGTCATAGCGGAGGGTGACGCAATTGGAGAGGACACCGCAGAGGACGTCGGGACAACCTCATTAGACGTGGGCTGGCCGGTCGACGAGTCTGAGAGGCTGGACAAGAGCCCAGTATCCAACAGTCCAGAGGATGTAGCGGCCGAGGGCGAAATGGCTGACGAAACAGGCGACTGGGTTGGGATAATCCCAGTTGACGTCGGTTGACCGATAGACGACGCTGGGGCGTTGGCTGTGCTCGAGCCGGGAAGGAGATCTGACACAAGGCCATTGACTAGTCCGGTGGACGACGCAGAGGGAGGCACGGCGGTGGAAGTGGGAATGCTCTCACTTGAGGTCAGCTGGTTCGCAGAGGACTCTGATACGCTGGCCGTGCTCGAGCC